TGGAATTATCCCAAATTTTATCCCTCAATAGTTAGATCACTTTTTTTATGGAGTGTGAAGACAAAGAAGATGATAGTTCTTGGTGAGGGGAATGCTACCACGAATCAAGGACCGAATATATATGCTTGTTCATCTAACTTCGACGATGCTATTTTTTTTTCATGTCATCTTATGAAGGGAAGAATATATATGCTTGTTCTATTAATTGCCTTTTAAGTTAGATGAGGAGTGAGAGTTTATATCAAATTAGATTCATGAGAACATCACATCCAGTGATGAGATGATTTATGTATGTAAATATTTTTTAATGGAATGTATATAAATATTGAATTCATGAAATGTTATGAATGATAGAAGCCCCAGGATACAAGAACAGTTTAGGCTTGCAACACACTATGTGTATGTCATGATTGGGTAATTTTCTTTTTTTCCTTTTCCCTAGGTACCTCTTTTACTAATTAATACTTATTGCATAGTAAAATTAGATAAAATAAATATAATGCATTAGTAGTTAACATCTCAAAAAATAAATAAATACATAATAAAAAGTAATGTACACATATATATATTTTTAATTCAGAAAACTATTTTCAGTTGGTACAACCAAAACAGATTTTTGAAATTTTTTTCTCATAAAACTGTTTTTGTAGTTTTTCCAACCAAGCAGATTTTCAAACTCAAAAATTTAAAAACTATTTTTTATTCTTATTCTCTGAAAATTGTTTTTAAAAACTATTCTGAGAATTACATTCAAAGGAAGTCATATATTACCATGAAGCTTGATTATCGGATGCAATTATCAATTTAACTTTCGTGCACATGCATTATGACAAAACAGATAAACGGAGCATAGGTCCATACATTAAAGACCATAAATTCTTACATTTAAATTAGGGGTGGCAAAATGGGTTATGAATTATCAACCGGTTCATATTCGTCATTTTTCTAATGGTTATGAGTAGGGGTGGCAAATGAGCGGGTTAGGCCGGGTTTGGGTTGACTTAAAAATAGACGGGTCAACATAGGTCAAAACCCATTTTCAAATCGTTCAAAACGGGTTAAAAATAGACAGGGTCAACCTATTATGACCCGTGTACCTATTAATTATTATTTTATTATTTTTAATTTTTTAATAAGTGCTGGACATTTACAAATAAATTTTAAATCATAATGATCGAGATCCCATAGTTTGCCACCTCTCAAATCTCAGTTTTGAATAACCAATCATATTCAGACAATATGTTATTCCCTTAATCATGACATTATTAGATGATCAAAACTGAATCTTGTGAAAAATGGTTTGTACTGCACACGCGTTGCAAAGGAGATAAAGGGTATTCATCATGCCCAAAGCCATCATCAATTTCTAGCTAAAATTAAATAATATCGGCGTACTGTACATAGCTTACTTGGTGGGTGAATTCACGGCATTTTTTGTTATTTCTCCTCATTGTCGTCAAGGTTTCGTTGTGAGCAGTGTCTCTCACGTTTTATCGTGAATTTGTGTTCCCGATCTCCTGATCTGCGCCGTTTCCGAGGGTAGATGGTTGTTGGGTCGCCGGGGTGGGTATGTTTGTCTGCTCCTTTATGGAGCTTTTTGGTATTTTGCACTGACAGTGGATCTGATGCATCTATGTCTTTTGCCGACATACGCCGTCTCTGTTGCCTGCGCTGGTTTGTTTGGTCCTCTCGCCAGTGATTTTTTCGGTGGACTCACCACTGACGTCATGGGTGACATCATGGGGTCTTTATCTAGCACTGTTTTTTTCTTTTGTTGTGGTAGTTTTCCTTCTATAGCTGGCACATTTTTTTTGACTTGTCAAGACTGTTAATTTTGACTATAAGAGGTGTTAGTTAGTTTTGGAATGGTGTTTTTTGTATTTTTGATCCTGTCTCTGACCGATGGTCTTGTTGTAGATGTCGTATGGCTTGTTTTCTTGCCAGAGTAAAAATAATAATAATAATAATAATAAATAAATAATACCTACCAAAAAAAACTAAAATTAAATTTTTTTTTTTAATTAAAAAAAACAGGTGTTGGTGATTTTGGTTGGCTATTTGCCTGTGATAGATCTTACAAGGGTACTCATTTGCCTCATATAATAATGCTGGACACGCCCTTTGAGAATGTGAAAATGGCATCACCTAGACCAAGCCATCTAAATGAGTCATATAATAAACTAAATATTTTTTATTTTATCACCATATAATAAACTAAATATAGAAAGCAACAAATACATCATGATATTTCAGTGGCGTGTTGTAAAATCAATTATATCTTGGCAAATGTGTGATGACCCACCTACTCTATACGAATGATTATAGCGTCAAACTTTTTTTTTTCTCGAAAGTTTAATAGCGTCCAACTTTTATTTCAACTTCCAATGAAAGTGGTTTGCCTGAAAGGCCATTCTTGTGTTTAATATGGTTGAAATTTTATTTAATTGTTATTAATCAAAGTTTTGATAATATGATCGGGTAATGATGTAAATTTTTTTATTTAAAATTTATTGTTCAAAGTTATCGGAAAATAATAATGAAGGAAAAATAAAATGAAAAGAAAAATTAAATATTACCAAAAGAAGAAGAAAAAAAAAAAAGAATTTAGATTCTTTTTCATAATAATGATAAAAACATTTTGCTAACATGTAAATGTTATTCGTATGTGTTATAGCATTAACTAATATATTAAAAGCATATTATATATATAATTATGTTGGATTGGATTAATACCAAGTCGGATTAATCATAATTCATAAATTATTAGATTTTTATTCTTACCTAATTATCGAATTAAATATTTCAATCCATGTTTGCAATGTGCGCTCATATTCAATTCCGATTTGGATCAAAATCAAATCTATTTTTTATAGGCCTAGGTGTAAGTTACACTTACAAAACTTGATGAAGGAGGGTAGGCTCACATCCAAGCTGCTTATATATATTATGGCAAGAAACTCTCACACCTACATGTTCTAATGAGAAAATATCACTAGGCTGTAGGTTTTGACACCTCCAAACATTGACCATCCGCATATAAGTAATATAATTTATTAACTGTGGCGACCTTGTGGGTGGGTGTGTGCAGTAGGCACCATTAGGTTACCACACTGGGCGAGTTATAGGTGTACGATCTTACATCGTTTGGGTATAAATGGAGTAAGTGTTATATATAGATTCAACACAACGTGTTTTAAAGGTGTGACGGCCATGAACTCATCATAATTCCAGAGTTAAGTGTGTTTAACCTGGAATAGTAGTAGGATGGATGATCTTCTGGGAAGTCTCTATTTGGTGGAGTCAAAAGCGGACAATATTGTATCTGGTTATGGTGAGGGTTGTTACAAATGGTATCAGAGTTTAACTTAGCCGGAAGTGTATTGGCACAAGTAAACTACCACGCTGGTAGTACCAGAGTTAAGTTTGCTTAATTTGGAAGAGTACCTGCATGTCTGTAAAAAATGGACAATGTTGTATCTTGCTAGAGTAAGGGTTATTACATTAACTATATATATATATATCAAACTAAAAAGTTCTATAGTCATTAATTTTATTTATTTAAAAAAATTATAACAAGAAAACAGTGACCTATTATCCATCTTGAAGCCACAAAGGCAAGAGATCCATAAAAGCGGGCATTAGAAAAGATTTAACTATTTTGAAAGATGATGGAGGATTAAGATGGTTAAATCTAACCCCTGGTTGTCACAGTATAATAATAATAAAAAAAACAAAACATTTTGTCTTGAATTTGCTTTCGACTTGTGTAACTTCTGAATGAGACGGACTTGTTGCATTTGTTAAAAAAAAATTAAAAATGCTAATTAGTGAGTTCATTAGTCAAAATAAATTCATTATTTACATAATTTTATTATGTATAGAAGAGTATTGCATTTACCTCAGTGAATAAAGATAAATAATAGTATTGATTTTTTTTAACCTTTAAACTCACCGACTACACATGTTAACATTTTAAGTTTTTATGATGGGTCAGAGTCCATATGGTCGTCCAAAGGAGAAACAGATCCCATCTGCTTAGAGAATTATCTGCACCGGTGCAATATAGTTATAATTGTAATATTATAAAATTATTAAAATGAGAATTTAATACTAATTATTACATTTATCATGTAAAGTTGTTAAATGAAGCACGTGATAAAAATGACAAATGAGAGGATTTTGGGGTGAGCATTTGTAGGGTTTGTGTACCTAAAAACAGGTTTAATTGAATGGACATGCAATATTAGTCCATATATAGAATTATATGCTCTAGTAAGTATGAATACGGAATATGTATACAATATGATATGAAATACGACGGATACGATAAATTTTAAAAAGGTAACAAACGAATATAGGAGGATACACCAATAAAAAAAATATTTTTTTATATATACAAAAATTTAATTTTTGGTCATTTTTTTTTAATAATGTTATAAATCTAACTACAATTATTAATATATTCTAAATAATTAAATATACACAAGAATTATTTCACAACACATAAATACAAGCATGCCCAATCATAGTTAAAGCTTGAATACAAACGATAAGATAAGTATATGGACAAACTATATGCAAAGATACGAATATATATATATTTAATAAACTGTGGTACATATTTTAATAATTAATTTTTAAAATAAAATCTAAATTTTGCTTAACTATAACATTATTGTTTTTTGTTTTTTAAAGATAAAAATTGTTAGATTAGAAGAAGTTAGTCAGAGGTGCCAAGGCTAGAAACCGCTTGGCTAGGAAGAGTGGAAGACATTTGCCTAAAACATTACTGTTGAACAATTAAATTTAATGTTGAAAACTTATTAAAAATGTATTTTGACGTATTTAAGATATGTGGTCTAAAAATCTTAAAAATATTACATATGTGTTAAAAATAAAAATATATATTTTAAAATAATAGATATTTAAGAAGTATATATAAGAGTATTCAAAGTGTATCATGATTCCTATATTGTATGACAACTAACCCCATAAAGAAAAAAAAGTAAAATGAAAAAAGAAAAGAAAAGAAAAGAAAAAAAAAAAAAGAGTACTGAATCCAATGTATAGTAAAGTTTTTAAAAGTTTTCGTGAATAAAAGGTGGAAAATTTATATCTTAGAAAATAGAAATAGAAATAGAAATAGAAATATATATATAAGACGGTAATCTTTTTGAAATATTTATTTCTAACTTTAATTACCCTTTTCCATCATCGGACAGCTACGCCCACTTTTAAAAGAACAACAGAGGTTATTCGGTTAATGCTCCTTTTGATATCGATCGTACTTTGTTTTCTCTTCTCCAGGAAATCGATTCTCGTCTCAAGCGTTTTCTCCTAAAAGCTTCATCAAATCCACACTGTTTATCAATTCTGAGAAATGGGTAATGACTGCATTCAACTTTCGATGTTTTGATCCATTTGATTTGTAATGTTTCTTTACATTCATTCCGTTTTGAATCACAATTAGTTAACGAATAATGAACCACCCGAGTAACGATCTTCTTTTATTAGTCTCGCAATTAATTTCAGGAAATATTTATATAACGTAAACGGGTACATATATATGTCTTTTTTTCGTTATAATGTAACGGTTGTTTTCAGTTGTTTTGTTTTTATCGTTTGTTTGAAATTTCCAATCGTCATGGGTTCATTAGGTTGAGATGTCATTGTGATTTCGTTTGGTCGGTCCCATTAAAGTGTGAATTTGGTGAGAAAAATGGGCATGATGTAATTTGCCTTTTTAGGGAGATCTTTGATGATTTATATAAGTTGATTTGTTGATTTTATGACTTGATGGCAACTGGGTTGGAGCTCAGGAATGTCCCTCGATCACATTTTCTTTCTGTTGAGAAAATGTTGGAAAGCAAAAGAAATCAGAATGGTGTTTCATGGAATAGTTTTATTATTAAGTTATTTCTTTTAATATGGGCTCCAAGAATACGATAGTGTTAAGTCTATCAAGATTTATCCAACAATTTGGCTTGGTTGATGGTAGCTTAAAATTTCTGAAACTGACATAAGGTTCAGTTTTATAAGCACTGGTGTTCTTTTCCTCAATTTTACAAGAAACCAAGTAGAGATTACTAACAGTGGCGGAGCTAGGAATCTACTTGAGTGGGGGCAACCATTAAAATAATGTGATAAGAAATTGTGAACCAAACAAAATAAATAGTAAGGAGTTGTCTATATTGAATTTTGATTCTTAAACATTTTTTTTTGGATCCAATGGAGGAAGAAAAAACATGTTTTTTTTTTTGAAAATTATGAGGGGTCTTTTTGAAACTTTGAGAGTTTTTTAGGGACTTTTGAGAATTTTATAAAAGTTCAGTGGGGGCATTTTAAGAATTATCAAAATATTTGCATAAAAAATTATAAATAACAGAAAATTCCATTGGGGGCAATTGCCCCGACTGGTCCCAACGTGGCTTCGGCACTGAATTTGCTAATGAATTAACCATGTTGTAGTGAGATAAGTTACATTTATTTTTATTTATTTATTTATTTTTTTCCTAGTTGGGACTCAAACACACTACCTCCACTGAGGTTTGAACCCCTGACCTTCCTTTGGAAAGTAGGAGCCTTGAATCGCTAGGCCACAGGCTTGTTGGTATAAGTTACATTTATTTGGTTGGAGATTGATCAGAAGATCTCCGGTTCAATTTGTTTCATATGAAATTGTCATCTTGACTAAAGAATTGTATTGTGAAACAGATTATCTAATGTACGTAATGGATTTGACTTATGTGTAACATGAAGACTGTGATTTTTCAGAAGCTATGGCCTGTGGCACATGATTGTCTGTCTAATATACTTGTTTACTATTATTATTTTTCCAGATAAAGCCAGTGAATGTTGTTCTACTCACCTCATAGATGGGGAGGGTACATTTAATGTTGCTGGAATAGAAACTTTTATGAAAGAAGTGAAGCTGGCTGAATGTGGACTTTCTTATGCCATAGTTTCCATTATGGGTCCACAAAGTAGTGGTATGAATTATTCTCTCTATAATCTAATTACATGCGTGTCTCACTCGTGCATTTTACATAACCGTTTTATGTACAAAATATGATCTTGCCAAATAGTTCATGCATTAGAATGCATAAATATCTATTGAGGTAAATTTGTATAATTTTATAAGCCTGAACAAGGTTTGTTTGAAGTTTAAATAGTGAAAGCATAATTATCGTATTTTAACATGCGTACTATATATGTATATATTTTATATTGTGCCACTTATTAGAGAGAAAAAAAAAAAAAGCAAAGAGAAAAATCATAGGGTACTATATCTTCTTTCTAGTATTACTTAGCTATTTTGACATTGAGTTTCTTTTTCCAGCACCCCCTGCCCTTACTTTTTGACAAGGGCATTCTCTTTCTTTGTTCTGGCTCTAGAATGTCTGTTCATCATGTAAGGGCGTAAGGCCTGTATAAGAAAGTTCTGCATAAGTTAGAAAGTTCTGGATTAGTTATTATACACTTTATACAATTAGTTATTATTCAATTTATACAATGATTTTGGGAATTAATTATTATGCACTTTATACAAATGATTTTGATGAGGACTTCTACGATTCTCGCAGGGAAGAGCACACTATTAAATAATTTGTTTAGCACCAACTTCAGAGAGATGGATGCTTTTAAGGGGAGGCATGTACTCATAAAGTGATCATTTTAGGTCTCATTTGTTTTTTTATTTATCAGACTTTGAAACACCTACACTATCCTCCTCTTTTCAGGTCTCAAACCACTAAAGGTATTTGGATGGCAAAATGCGCTGGTATTGAACCTTGCACTCTTGTAATGGATTTGGAGGGTACTGATGGAAGAGAACGAGGAGAGGTGCCTTTGCAAAATTTCCTTTTTTGCCCCCTTTATGATCATGCCATCTGCTTATAATTTCTGTGATCACTTACATGGTTTCCATCATCAGTTATGATCTTCGATTAGCTTAATATCTTGAAAGAATTTGAATTCATTGCCTTTAAAATATGTTCTTGCACACGTATATGTGTGTGTGCACAAGCCTGTGATTACTATATATGCATGGATATGCACACAGTTTACTCACATATATCAAAACTTGTGAGTTTTATCGTAAAAATATAGTTAGAAGTTAGAAGAATGACTTGCATATGGTAGTAATGCTTAAAAAGAAAAAAGCTCACGATAGGGTCCCATGGATGTAATTTTGAGGGGGAAGAAAGAAAAAAGGAGAGAGTATCAATAGGTTTATTGATGTGATCACTGACGTGCATGATGGAGCTGCAACTAATGCAAGAGTAGAGGGAGGATTGATTAGTGGATTTTTAAATAGCAAATAGGCTCTTGCATCAATAACTTGCATTGAACATATCTCTTTTGTATATTGGTTGTGGACGGTCTTACTAGGTCTACCAGGAGGATGTCTCTTGGCATATGTTGATTGCTAATGAAGGAACTAGGGCAGCAGCACTTCAAAATCATAATTTTTTAGGTTCAGCATGACCAAGACTGCATACATGCAGTGTAGTTTCAGTAATACAAAAGCATAATGAAACTTAATGGCAATGAGATACTTAATAACTGACCATCTTAATATATTGGATTACTTATCCATAAAGAGGAGGAGATTTAGGAAATGTTGCCTATAGAATTAAAGCAAGAAGGATAGAATGGAGATATAGTTTTATTTTTATAGTGCTGTGTGTTTGTAGAAATCCTTGTGATATGATAGTTTGGGCATGTGTAACGTAAACCACATAATGCACCAGTAATGATAAGTAATCTTATCCAAGTTGAAGGTGCTAAAACCATTAAAGGAAGGCCATAAAGAACGTGGATTGAGACAATTAGAGTGATATTATTGCCTTGAATTTAACTAAGAAGTAAGGATATTGCCTTATAATGAGCAGATTTGTGGTGAGGATCATGTAGCCTACTCCAATTAGTTGGTAATATTGCTTGCTGAGTTTGAGTTATGATGAAGGATTTAAATATTTAAGTTACACCCTCTCTAACAAAACTTAAGCTTTTGGAGTAGATGGTTGTTAACATGGTATCAGAGCAGAGTAAGTCGTGTGTTCAAACCTCACCGTCATCCTGATTTAAAATTGAAATACGTGTTCGACCAAAAGAAGGCTACACGCAAGGGGGCGTGTTGAAGGATTTAAATATTTAAGTTACACTGTCTCTAACAAAAATGAAGCTTTTGGAGTAGTAGATGTTTGTTAACAAGTTACATGTAGACTGCTTGTGTTATGGGACCCTCTGTTTTCTATTTATGGGTTGTGTTACTTTGAATTGCTTGGAGGACTCCTTGCTATTTCTTCAGTTTGTTCTTCAGTTTGCGCCACTTGATGTCTAATTGAGCCCAATAATATTTGTGATGCCTGTTTTCTTCCCCACACCTACATAGTTCTAGAACAAGACCTTTTTTGTCATGAGATTGCAAGGAATGTCCAGCCTGAATATTCTCTTATGATTAATAATTAAGCTGGTCTGTTGTAGCTGCTTAATATACTTCAAAAACCTAGTGACTCTATTATGTCTACATTGATAGCTATTGTACTTTATATTGGATAGCTGTAGCAACACATTTCCAAGACCAAGTTGAACCAATAGTCACGAAAAGTAACATTTAAGTTGGCTTGGTGTTTTAGTCTTCAAAAACAGAATTAATTTCATGTTAGGTGATTTTTAGGGCGAAACAAAATTCATGTGACCACAACTAGTTGGGTAAAGGCTTTGTTGAGTTGAGTTAGGTCATTTTTTTTCTAGCCATCCAGGATTGTAATGTCAATTGCGTGAAGAATATAAAATCTCAGGACTTCCAGAAATGATGCATTGGTGAATTCCTAGTGTAGTATCATTCTCTTTCAATGAAACAATCCGTCAAGGACATGAAAATGATTAACCAGTGACAACATAATTAAATATTACATTGTTTTCTTCCTTTTCTCTTTTCATTTGAATGGATCCTAAAATTGACAAATTTGTTGGTCAAGTATGCATTTTATATTGAATAAATTTGGATTTATTGTTTAAGTATGCATTTTATATTGAATAAACCATATGAATGAGTCAAAACCAGTCATTAATAACACACACACGTGTATCACAAAAATATTTGTTTATTGCTATGGGATTTAATCATTGTAGGCTTGGTATTTGAATTATAGGATTAGCAAGTACATATAGCACTGCTTCTTGATTATCTGTTTTTTTATTTTATTGAATTTCATAATAGAAATAGACAACTATGGTATTGCTTGCTCCCTCATTTAGTTTTGGTATCATTTACAGGATGATACTGCATTTGAAAAGCAGAGTGCACTTTTTGCCCTTGCTGTTTCAGATATAGTTCTAATAAACATGTAAGTTTTCTAGCACATGCAAGATGTATTATATGGATAGTGCACATTCTTTTTAAATATTAAAAGATTTTTTTGGGGTCTTTATAGTTTATACAAATAGTTTCCCTCTGAATTATTAATTTAGGTGGTGTCATGACATTGGCCGTGAGCAGGCTGCAAATAAGCCGCTTTTGAAAACTGTATTCCAGGTATCTCTTGTGTACCTGCGTTATGCAAACTATTATTTTGAAATATAGATGATTTGATTGGTTCAACTTTATGATGGTCCTTCTACAGGTCATGATGCGATTATTCAGTCCACGTAAAACAACTTTAATGTTTGTAATACGTGATAAAACAAGGGTATATTTCCTCCATTTATTCTTATTTCATGTTGCAGCTCTATATAGCACTAATATATTAGTTCTTCCGTGTCTGCTTTTCCCTTGGGATATGGCTTTGATGAATTGTCTGACTTTTGAGTGTGTTGAACCTTTTCTTTGTGTATAGACGCCTCTTGAAAATTTAGAACCTGTTCTAAGGGAAGATATTCAGAAGGTAAAATATTTGATTTGTCTTCTTCTTCTTCTTGTTTGGGTGCAATCTCAGTGTTGCTTATACTGGAACTATCTCTTGGATGTAGATATGGGATTCTGTTCCTAAGCCACAAGCTCACAAGGAAACTCCACTAAGTGAATTTTTTAATGTAAGATCTGATTAAGATATGCTTAGGCTAGTCCTCATCTGTTATTGGGAAGGAATCGACATACTTTTTTCTCATGGTAAATTTTTTTGTTATTGATTAAATGGCCAGGTTGAAGTAGTGGCTCTTTCTAGTTATGAAGAGAAAGAAGAGCAATTCAAAGAGCAGGTACACTGACCTGTAGGCTATACTCACTTGAAATAAAAATAGACAAATTTTTTTTTTTGGATTCATAGCTCACCAGAAGAACTTGCTGGATTTCCAGAAACAACCACTTTTATAATTTTTTATTATCAAAGGTAGTGAGGATTTTTTGTTATGATTTTTTTACATTTTATTCTGTATTTTCTATGAAATTTAAATCAAGCCATTTCATCTTCATATTGTTTACAAATTTCTCATCAGCTTACTGTTTGCCCGCAAGGATTTTTTAACTTATTATCGTTTGTAATTTAAAACTCAATCTATGTTTTCAGTACTTGATGAATTTGGGATATAACTTATGTTTTGTTTATAACAAAAGGTGGCTGGCTTAAGGCAGCAGTTCTTCCATTCTATAGCACCTGGTGGGCTTGCTGGAGATCGGCGTGGTGTAGTTCCTGCTTCAGGGTTTTCTTTTAGTGCACAACAAATCTGGAAAGTCATTAAGGAGAACAGGGACCTTGACCTTCCAGCCCACAAGGTAAAAATGTGAAAATCTTCTCAATGGAAACTACAACTTGCATATTCTCTGAATTTTATGCTTTCTATCCATTGCAGGTCATGGTGGCTACTGTGCGCTGTGAAGAAATTGCCAATGAAAAGTTTGCTTCTTTTGTTGCAAGTGAGGTACCTGTATACTAAAATCATTTATGTGTATTACTGTGTAATGATCGTTATATATTCTAACTTGTATGTTCTTCTATTGAAAATAGCTATTTGATCTAACTTTATCACAGGACTGGTGTGAACTAGATGAGGCTGTACAATCTCGTCCAGTGCCAGGCTTTGGGAAGAAGATTAGTTTAATTCTTGAAACTTTTCTGTCAGAGTGAGTGCCTGTACTTTAATCCAATGTTTATTTTTCCAGTGGTTAAGAAGTTGGTTATTAATGTTTCTTGTAATGCTACACTTTATGGTCACTACCTTTAAGAATTTGGCAATGTTGGCTGAAGGCTGTCTGACTATATGTTTATGGTTGCACATTGATGTCTTATTGATGATATTTGTCTTTGCCATACCTGGTGCTAGGCCTGTCAATTGATTGGGTTTTAATTTGAATGGGATCTGATTCTCTGGATTCGACAAGAGTGTTTTTGTCTGATAATTGATTGCAAGGCGAATCTGATAAGTCTGTTAAGCAACAGATTGGATGTGGGATAAGTGTGATTTAATCTGATGATCTGATTTTATTTGAAAACTACATATTATTGTATAGCATTCCATAATATTATTTATATCCACTGTTTGATTTTCAAGTGATCTAACAATTCATAGTTCATGTATAAAAATGAACACTTAGGGTTTGAAGGTTGATACCTATCTCTCTCTCTCTCTCTTGCCTGTTTGCTGTTGATAGTCTACTTTAGCCTTTAAACTTCAGCTTTCGTCCTGCATCCTTGATATCAATCAGGCTCGCTCGCTCTCTCTCTCTCTCTCTCTATAGTTCGATCCATGTTCTTGTGTTTGTCTAATTTTATTGGATATGATTTCCCTTGGAAGTGTATTTGGCGCTCTAAAGCTTCTCTTAGAGTTGCCTTCTTTGTTTGGATTGCTGCCTGGGGAAAAATTCTAACATTGGATAATTTGCGTAAGAGAGGTAATACTAGGGGTGTTCAAATAATCCGCTAATCCGTCAAACCGATCCAAACCAATCCGATCCGTATGGTTCGGTTCGGTTTTTTGATCTAATGGTTCGGTGATGGTTTTAAAAATTGGCAATCCGCAATGAGCGGTTCGGTTAATGGATTGAACGTTGAAAAAACTAAACCAATCCGTTAACTGATCCGATCTCATCCGATCCGTGAATTATATTATATAATATATATAATATACTGTAATATATTATTTCTATTTATTTATTTTTTATTCATTATTTGCTTTTAAATTTTAGCCCTACATTAGCGTATCTAACCCTAGGTTTTTTACTCCCAGCCTCTGACTTTCTGCATGTCTATTGACTGTCTCTTCGTCCCTCATCTCCAGAAGAAACTATATTATTAATTTATTACAATAACATTTGAAAAATTCTTGCAAATCTCCATCACTAACTTTATTACTTATTTTTTTAGATTAAATGTGTTACGACACACTGTTTTGATAGATTTATTGTTTGGCTGAGTCATAACTAAAATAGTAAAATATAATCATATATTGAGTTGGGCATAACTACAATATAATTATATTCGGTTATTTGAAAAAGCTTAATCCGTGGGAACCAAACCGAACCAATCCGTTATTTCACGGTTCGGTTTGGTTCGGATTGATAGTCTCCACGGATCGGTTCGGTTTCAGATTTAGCCAATCCGTGAGGACCGGATTGGTTTGAATTTTACCCAAAACTGAACCAATCTGATAATACCATTGTTAATTGGTGCTGTCTTTGTAACAATGATGGTGAGTCCGTGGACCATCTTCTTATGCATTGTCTTGTTGCATCTGATTGCTGGAATCTCATATTCAGTATTTTTGGCGTTCAGTGGGTAATGCCTAAGCACTCTTTCCAATTAATTAATGCTTGGAGAAGATGCCCTGTTTCTGGTCATGCTCGTGATTTTTGGAGGGTCGCCCCACATTGTGTTTGGTGGTGTATTTGGAGAGAGAGAAATAACAGAAACTTTGAAGGGAAGGAATCGTGTTTTGCAAACCTTAAGTCTTTTATCCTACGCTCTCTTTTCTGTTATGTCAGAGGCAGCGCTTGCTCCTCGATCAATGACTTTTTGGTTCTATTGGACTCTGTTGGTCCATAGATTTGGCTTTTGCTCTTTCGTTTTTGTGTATTAGGGCCTTTTGAACGTTTTTCTAATATATTTTTACTTATCAAAAAAAAAAAAAAAATATAATATAATGTACACACGTGTTATTTAGGTATCTATGTACGTGTATCAGTAATTATGTTTGTGTGTATTATGTATGTATACTGATTTTTTACTTGGTGTACTTTTGTCTAAAAATTAAATAGCTTTAGGTTTCAAAATTTTTCACGTTGAGTTGAGTTTTTCCTTTGAATTATCAGATCTAATTGATCTTTTAATGGAGATCCAATTCTTAACAGATACGGATTTTAGCATTAGTGATCATTCAGGTAGGGATTACACATTTACTTTAGCGTATCAGGATCAGGATTAGGAGTGACCCAGTCCACGTACAATACTTTCACAGGTTTACCTTGTGCTGGTGTGATGTAATAGGTCAAAATAAAAATAAAAATAAAAAATTGCATTTAAGAATTGATTTTTTCTGAAGGGTTATGGCAAACTTGTATAAGAGATTCACTGAACCTTGGACTGTAAATAGGGAAAAACTATAATAGACTAGGCTTGTGATGGTAATAAACTAGTTTCTTTGGTAGCGTGATCTTCCATGCAAAAGTCTGAATGATGTGATTATTTACAACTATACCCTGATGACTGATAATTCCCATGCAGCAATGCATGTTCTTCGCTAAATACCATGCTTGTATGTATTCTGGGTAAAAGAAAAACCAATATGAACTTTAAAAAGTCAAAGCAAATAAAGTTTAATTGGTGGTTGCAGTACGTGGAATACTCAATACCAACTTGTAAATTAATGCTGTGACCGAATATCGGTCTCACCTTGTCAAAATTTTCCTGTCTTAATTGCATCATCCTGGGTCTGGAATTCTGGATCAGCTTTGGAAGAGATATTTCTCTTATGGGGCAACTGGGAAAAGGGTTTCTGATCCTAATCTTGTTGATTTCCTTTCCAACGGGCTTTGCAGAATTGTGATGGCTGGACTTGCTGGTTTAAAATTTTGACTTTGAATATGATGAAGGTATGGCTGATGGTCTGAATTGTATAAATCTGGTTCATAAATGTGGGAGGGTGGGATCATGGGAAGATTTCTAACATCTTGGCATTCTTATTTGAGTTATTGCTTAACTCAATTGAGCACCCTGGGCAACTGCCTGTATGGCATAAGACAACCTCTGGGTCACCTTCTGAACTAATTAGCATTAGAATTCGAAAAAGAGTAGCATTGTAACCCAAGTTGGCTCATGATATCACTAAATATGGTGGTGATATTAGTGAGGAATAGTCGATTCTTTCACTATATTAGATGTCCTAAATTGAATGATTTTTTGATTACTTGATATCTTTTCCCCCCTTTAATATATTGTTCATGTGAATTCATGACTCACGAGATAGTACCTGAGCATTTATTAGCAAAAGTATTTGTTGTGATCGAATATGCTATCATTTAAAATTTATTTTGATGATATAGATGATTTGAATATCTTAAAACTATCTCTTCAAGAACAATGTTGATGTGTTTTCACAAATATTTGTGTTGCGTTAAAAAAAAACTTCTTTCAGGTATGATGCAGAGGCTACATATTTCGATGAAGGTGTTAGATCAGCAAAGCGAAAACAGCTGGAAGACAAATTGCTGCAAGTAATTACTCTCTTCAGTACTCTTCTGTAAGATTAGGATCTTTATGCTGTTTCTTGTTGTATAGATGAGGAAGTACTGCGATAAGTAAGCTGCCTTATGGTTAACAGTCTCTGTCCCATATGCAACTGAAGACTTGAGATAATTAAGGATAAGAAATCATCTCAATGAAATTTGTAGAATCTGTTTTGCCCTACTCGATTTTTTGTAGGGTGACAAATTTTGACACGACCCGCCAACACGACAAGAGTTAATCGGGTTTGAGTTGACCTTAAACGGGTTCGGGTCGTAAACGGGTCAACATGATTAACCCATTCGGTTAATTGTGTTGTGTTTGGGTTGAGGGGTTGAACCTATTTATACCCGTTTAACTATATGTGTCATAAACAAATTTTTATTTAAGTCCCAAAATAACTATCTAAACTTGTGTCTTATAACTTATTCTTTTGTAAATTAGAGATTATATAGTAATTTGGTTGGATTGAAACTTATATTTTTCTAGTATTTATTGTTTGATTGAGTATTATTAACAATTTAAATAATATAATATTTTGTTTTAGTAAATAGGTCATTAAACTGGTTACGCGTGTAACCCGTTTAATAAATAGGCCGGGTTAGTGTTGAGGGTTCCTAACACGATTATTAAACGGATCGTGTTTGGGTTGAGTTGTTTAGTATAATAAATACCCTTAGGTTGACACGACACGATTATGACCCGCGAACACGAATTGCCGCCCCTAATTTTTTGTTATTAAGTTTGATGTTAACTCCAATGAGATATATATAAGCTACAAATGTTTTTCATTAAGCTGCATTTTGAGATCCGAAACATGTGATTCTAAGGTGTCTAGGATGTTCTATAGTGGCACAGAGAAGAAAATGTGTCCACTTAAGAGTGCTGATAGACAAGGACCTTGCAAAAGGAGGCTTTTGAAAGTTCTTGCAGTGGCACCAAGTTGCCCTTCCTAACCACTTTTTTCTTGATTATGCGTAAAAACTATGATTTTTTTTTTTAATCTTTTTTTTTTTTGTAATTTTATCTTAAAAGACTCCTCCCCTGTTGAGCTGGTAGTAGGAGAGGACTTGATCACCTGAGTCCCCATTTCTGGAGGGCTTTTGGTTCCTCGAGGTCTCAAGGTCATCTGTAAAATTGTGATTAATTTTCCTACATCAATATATTGGCAATAAATGGTTTTATTTCTTCATTCATTTGTATTTCTTTCCTCATTGCTTGTCTTCTTCTGATTTAATAGCTTGTCCAACCGGCCTACCAATCCATGTTGGGACACATACGGTCTGGAACTCTTGATAAATTCAAAGACGCATTTGATAAAGCTTTGAATGGAGGGGAAAGGTTTTCCATGGCTGCTTGTGATTGCACCGAGTCTTTCATGACTCTATTTGATGAAGGATGTGCAGGTATATTACGAGTTTCACAAAGTGAACCTTAGTTAGCTTTATATAAGGCTAACGCAACAAAATGGTTTCTGTTGCGAACTTTATATTTCTTTTCGTGTCTTATATTAGCTACTCACTTCCACAATTTCTCATAATAATATGATACTCCCTTTACTTGTACCAATTCCATTATAATTGTTACTTCTTCAATTATTTTAGAATAATAAATGTTGTTAATGAGGGAAACTTAAAAAACTTTTCAAACCCCCCCTGGGCCCCTCCACCTTCCATTTTCTCTGCATCAATTTCCTTCTATTGTATTGGTTCAGAATTTTGATGTGTTTTTCTATCTCTCTAATTTCTGCATCGATTTCCTTCTGTCGTCAGTATGAATGACTGAATGTAGAGGTTACATTAGTGAAACTCTTTTTACGGTTCAGTGGAAAGACCATTTTAGTTACTGAAAAGTTCATGAAACATGTGTAACTGCTAAGATAAAAAAAGAATTAATTCCGCTTATTCCCGCGTGTAAAAAATAATATTTAGATCACATTATTTGTTTTTTTTTTTTGGTCTCGTGAAAAAGTTTCGGCATATTAGGTGCTTAAATCTTAGTTTTAGTTGTTCCTGACCGTGGAGTAACTTTTGTTTTCATAGACTGCAATGGTATGATATTTTTAGGAAGTTTAGTTATATTTTAAAATATTCTTTTTATGGTTTCGGAGAAACAGTTACAGTGTACTGAAGGAGCTTGAAACTGTAGTTTAAATGTATAATATGATGCAAAGCAATTAGGATTTTTGGATTCCTGCAAAGTGTAGTTTAATATACTGGCTCATTAACTTTACAGACGCCGTCATCGAGCAAGCAAACTGGGATTCATCTAAAGTAAGGGATAAGCTTAAGCGTGATATAGATGGACATGTTGCTGCAGTTCGTACTGCCAAGCTGTCTGAACTTACTACCTTGTATGAGGTAATGACAACTTGTGTGATTCATAAATGTGGGATTGTTTACTTCCTATATTTGTCTTTGACTATGATGACAATTCGATATTTAATAATCATTTGGCTTTGGGTATTTTTAAGTCAGTTGGGCAGATAATGTGCATAATGTCTGGAATATTATATCTATAACATTAAGCAAGGATTTTACTTCGGGGAAGAAAGAAAAAAACTTTCAGCAAGTATATCCGAATAATTGTAATGCTCTCTTTGATAAAATGGATAGAAATTTGGGATCACAAGGTAGGAAGGATGAAAAAGGTCACCCGGGAATGGAAAGGGTCTTCTTTCCTTCATTTTGTTTGGTTGAACAGGAAAAAGGTGGTGTCATGGTTTTAGCTTCTTGCCTTACGTATCAGAGGAATGATGTTGTTTGAAGGGTAAAAATGTAAAGGGAGTGAGTCTTCTTTCCTCTTTTCCTCCCACTTTTGGGAGGAAACACTTGGTGGGCCCAGAGGAAAAAGGCCCCTCTCCTCTCTTTGTTTCTCTTTCCTTGCCTTCATACCGATCACGAAACTCTACTATTCCTTCCCTTCTCTTTCCTCTTATCTTCCTCCCACTCTTCCCTCCTATAGAAGTTAAGGAGGTAGTTTGAAGGAAGAAGCGAGGTATGGTGTGGAAATGAAATATATATTGATACTTTAATTATATTGCATGACTTGCTAATTGTTGTGATTCATTCTAGTCATGGAATTGTTGCATCCTAGTAGTGAGTTCTAGGATATAAAGCTAGTTGAACATGCCAAATGAAAAGGCTGCGTATTACTGTGACTTTTGCTTTTGATAAGTTTGTTCTTATGTTATTCAATCCTTGTCATAAGTTTCTGGTAATAATACATCTGCAGACAACGTTGAACGAGGGACTATCAGGACCTGTGGAAGCTCTCTTGGATGGCGCTGGAGATGATTCCTGGCCAGCAATAAGGAAACTTTTTCTGCGTGAGACTGAATCAGCTGTTTCTGGGTTTTCTGCTGCACTTTCTGGTTTTGACATGGATGAACAAGCAAAGGATAAAATGCTTGCGAGTTTGGAGAACTATGCAAGAGGAGTGGTTGAAGCAAAAGCAAAAGAGGAAGCTGGAAGAGTTCTGATCCGCATGAAGGACAGGTACTGACTCTTTGAAACATCTGAATTCATTTGTTTTGAAATTAGGCCTCCTTGCTATTTGAATTAGTTGTTTTGACTTTTAGCTCATTTTAATTGATTGTAAAATTACCACAGGTTTACAACATTGTTTAGTTATGATTCTGACTCAATGCCACGTGTCTGGAGTGGGAAAGAAGACATTCGAGCAATCACCAAAACTGCTCGTTCTGCAGTATGACACGTTCATCGAATATCTTTTCTGGAATTTGAGTTACATATTACGTTTTGGATATCTTATTTAATATTATCTTTTACAGGCTTTGAAGCTGTTATCTGTTATGGCTGCAATCCGTTTGGATGATGTTGCTGACAATATTGAGAATACTTTATCTGTTGCTTTGGTGGATAACAGAAGTGGTGCTGTTACTAATAAGAGCAGCACATCATATGATCCGCTAGCCTCAAGCACTTGGGAAGAGGTGATAATTTGTATTTGTAAAATCTGTATCCATGTCAACTTGCAATTTGTGGTTGAATTTATTATTTAAAAAACTAGCATGGGCCTTCAAGGCTACAAACTTCCAAAGAGAACTTGATTGACTGGGTAGTTTTTCTGCATAAATTATATGAATACCAATTTCATTTCTGGTCCTTTTAGGTTTAAATACACTGATTTTTTGTGTTAACACAACTGGGCTGGCAACCAATTTTTAGCCTTGTAATTCACAGATGTCTAGATTATAAAACTGAAATTTTGTGTAATGCAAAAGTTATAACCTAACATTATTATTAAATCGTTCAATATCTATTCTAGGCAACAGACTGCCAGAGTACTGTCATGGTTGTTTTTATCATGTTCTTTCTCTCATGCACGCGCACACACAATTTATGTTACATGTCTAGTTAGAGCATTGATTTAGAACCTATTCTCTATACCCATAAACTAACTTTTTCTTGTTGATTTTTTCTACTCAGGTTCCATTATCAAAAACATTGATCACACCTGTACAGTGCAAATCATTGTGGAGACAATTCAAGACAGAGACAGAGTACACTGTCACTCAAGCCATTTCTGCTCAGGCATGGATCCTCCCTCTCTCTCTCTCTCTCACACACACACAATCACAGAATTTGTTTCCCAAGAATTGCAAATGAACATGGGCTATGATTTGAGGGCTCTTTTTAATTCTTACGATTTGGTGCTTATGTATTTTTCTTTTAAACTTCATTTTCAATAAGTTTTAGTACAATGGGAGGGGGATTCGACACATCCGGCTGTTCCTTTTTTTTCCCTTTTTCTGTTCTTTAATTAGAAAATTAAATGTTTAGCGTGTGAGTAAAAGGTTTATTACTTATATATATGCGTGCACACTGCATTGCTCTCAGTTGATGTTCTCTTCATGAGGATGTTTGCCTTTCCTTTAAATGATGATCATGGGTGTTCTAAATAAGGACTTGTAAGTTACTTAGTGGCGGATACTTTTTTAGGAATACCTTTTGATTGATATATTTATACATTGCACTCTCCTCACCACAGCTGTCCTACTCAAGATTTACTCTGTTGGCTCATCGTTTTCGAGCTACATTACTTTTTAAGTTGTAAATTATTCGTACAGTATGTTTTTGAAGTCCAAACATCATTTTACATGGTCAACTCAAAACTCACAGATCTAAAAAGTAGGCCGCCGTTTTCCTGATCCCAAGCCTGAGCTTGGCCCAACTTTTCTCATCCTAGTATATTGGAGCCTGACCTCAGCTTGTTTTATGGGTTTAGGTTTGGAGTAGCTTTGTATCCTCTGAAATAAAGATCAATATATTTTGTTTGGCATATTGATTTACCCTCAAATTTCTATTTCAGCTCAGATGAGACATATTTGCACAGATCTATATGAGTAGTTTGTCTTGCATGGTAAATGTATTGCAGCTTTTCACTTTATTTCCCCTGATGTCTGATCGGTTTTGTTCTCTCTGATTTCAGGAAGCTAGCAAGCGTGGTAACAACTGGTTACCACCTCCATGGGCAATTGTTGCTTTGGTTATCCTGGGGTTCAATGAATTTATGACACTTTTAAGGTATTTGTTCTCCATACTTTTGGAGTTGATTTTGTTGGTGTTCAAGCTCTACTTTGTATGGTCATCTACTACATTTTAACTAATTTGGAATTTTTTCCGTGGCAGGAATCCTTTGTATCTAGGTGTAATTTTTGTTGGTTTTCTTCTCTTAAAAGCGTTGTGGGTGCAGCTTGACATCTCGGGTGAATTCCGTAATGGTGCTGTGAGTGTCAAAGTCTCTTTTGTTTTGTGTTTTTTGGGTTTGAGCCCCCTTAAATTATTGCAAACATGCTTGAAGCGCGCCCATTGAAGAACATCTATGAGACGTATACTGAATGTATTTGTTAAATCCTTGCTACATGGAGATTGAAATACGATATGATATGTGCATAAGCATTATAATTTAACCAGAAATCTTAAGACAAAAAAAAAATTATAATTTCTTTTTGACTAAAGGATTTTTAGAGGCCTGATTCTTGATTTTATGTACTTCAGATTCCTGGGCTTCTTTCCTTGTCCACCAAGTTCCTTCCTACTGTCATGAATATTCTCAGAAAACTAGCAGAGGAGGGCCAAAAGCGAGCAACTTCTGATCCTCAGAGAAACCCTATGCCTACATCAAGTAGTTTACAGAGTGGAGTGACCAATAATGGTGTTTTGTCATCCAGTGGTTCATCTGAGGTAACTTCATCAGAAAATGGAACTGAATATTCAAGCCCCTCAATACAAGACAAAGTGAAGTAAGCTCTCTGTTTGGGGAGCAACTTTCTTATGCTTGATGATGCTGGTGTTCTGCTCACTCTAAATTAGGATGCTTCGCGCATACGGTTCAGTCAATTTCTGTCTGATTACAAGCACGCAAGAAGAATGGATTTTGAAGGCATTAATTTTTGTGTAGGCGCCGCATACCGGATTTGTTGTGAGAAGCCCGATTAATAGGTTTTCTTGTTTCAGCATTTAGGTGTTCAGCTACTGTCTGGTTTGTGGGATAAGTTATATAGCTCTTCCCAGTCCTACCCAAATGGTTGTTGCTTCTGCTGGTTTTCCCTTCAATTTTGAATGTGATAGCATAATGCCCATGTTTGCTTATATTTCGAGGAAAATTGTTTTAGAGTTCACGAGGCTCTTTGAATTGTATACAACTTACATATATATATTTAAAGCTAGATTTTTTGTGGATGGTCTTGGATTTGATCAATCCTGTCTCATTGCATTATTATAGTACAATTATGATTATGTTACCATGTACAGAGCAAGTGATATTGAATTTTCAGATGAATTTTATTTCACATAATGTGAAGTTATTATTTACATAAAAAGTGAGAGGAGGGTGCAATTCAGAGTCTAAATCAAGAAAAAAGTCTACAGTACCACGAGAAATTGAGAGGTGGCAACATACTCCTAGACTATTGTAGATTTGATCCTAAATGAAGCACCAATTATCATCACAAAAAATATTTGGCAGCAACACTGTTTTAGTACTCTCTCGTATTTCTTCTTGATTCTGGAGAAATTGTTTTGGCAAAATCGTTCAACCAATCGTTGCAGTCTTCTGGTTGCAAGACCATTGGTTCCGTTACTTTGTGTCGCATTACTGATACTTCGGGTTTGATGGCTTCGATGATCGCGTTGCAAGCCTCTGCTGGTGGTTGCATTCCTGTTGCTGCCACTTCCATTGCATCTTCTTTTTCTTTTTCTGTCTGTTTTTGTCGTTTAATTTGGGAAATTACATAATCCTTGATCTGGGTACCATATCAAATCAAATAAAAAAAATTAGTGTTTGGAAAACTAAACATAGTAATAAAAGAAAATCAACAACTACGTGTGTACTAAACATATATATATATGTACGTACTTTTGCTCTTTTCAGATTAGTGCCGCCAAGATTATATTCAGTCATGCTCCATCCACTCTTCTTAGGATCAGACTTGACATAATATGTAAAATTTCTCTTCATTCCTATCACTCTTTCTTCTCCTTCTGCATTACCAGTACCACCATCTTTGATATCTTTAGCCTTGTCTTGGCCCTTCCAATTACCAATCCTTGTCACACGATTAATCCTCGAGCCTTTTTCGTGCTTCTTCTTCAACTTGGTGAAGAAATAAAGAATCTTCTCTTCCGATCCCTCGAAAAGTTCCGACGGCTCTTTGCTGTAGAGGTCAAATACGTCATTCACAACACCCTGGCATGGCAATGGTTCTTCATTGGCCTTGCAGGAAAGATAGTGAATCAATTCCTCGTCGGTGGGGTGAAACTTATAACCGATTGGAATCTTGGAACTGGCAGAGGCTTCCATGTTTAACCTTCAGGAAACTTCTGCAATTTTCTTGAGCTTTCTTTGGAGCGAGATTTAGTGAAAAGATGGAGTTCTACTTATACTATGATTCTCGTTCTTATTTGCCAAAAAATAAGGAAAGAAGGTGTTGCCGGAAGAAGGATTTGGAAACAGTGTCCGATTAGGAAACTTAAAAACGAAGATATACAGAGATTTAGTGAAAAGATGGAGTTCTACTTATACTATGATTCTCGTTCATATTTGCCAACAAAAGGAAAGTAGGTGTTGGCAGACGAAGGATTTGGAAACAGTGTCTGATTAGGAAACTTAAAAGGGAATTTGGAAACAGTGTATGATTAGGAAACTTAAAAACCAAGAAATACAGCCTCTATGTTTTACAGTATTATAAAACTTATTTTATTTTAGGATAAATTGCCAAAAACCCCTTGATGTTTACTCTCTTTTCCAAAAAACTCCCTGAATTTCTATTTTTACTCTCTTCTCCAAAAAAAACACTCCCCGAACTTCTATTTTTACAATAAACCCCTTGAACTATCGCAAGTTTTGCAAAAATCCCCCAACCGTCAATGTTCAGTTAGTTTGTCGACCTGAAATTGGTCTGTGACGTAAGCAAAAATTGAAAATGACAAAGATACCCTTAGTACAGTAAGGTTAATAAATGATTTTTTATTTTTTTTACCTTAAATCAATGGACAAAGACGATGCCCTGCCTCCCGCCGAACCACACCACCTCCTCCTCCTCAGCCAATCTCACCCCGCCATGTGTCCATTCTCCGGCGACACACTCCACTACTTCCGCCACAATAAGTGTATCTTCTCAAGGAAAAAAAAAAAATCAACTCCATTCTCTGTAATCGATTCGTTCTCAGTTGTTGTGATCTGCAATCGATTTACACACACATATATATGAACGTATATAAGACGTAAGAATTAGTGAGAAAATCAATTATTTAACTATTGGACTCTGACTCTCTCATTCATCAACCTCATCGTCTTTTCCATCTTCCTTGTTCTTCCTCTATATCACCGTCAATGGAGAAGACACGCACCAAATCCGATCAACCCCCAGATCATCACTGTTCTTTGTCGAAACTCAAGACCCAAGTCCTCTTCTGCAATCTTTGGTTCATCTCACAATTGTAGCATCCGTTAATGGAAAGAGACGTCGTTGATCAACCCCAACATCATCGTCAATGGAGAGACCCGCCACGCACCAAATTCGATCAACCCCAGCATACAACCTGTTAAAATTGGAACCCATTTTGATAGTGTAACCTTACAATTGCTTGTCGGTGCCAGACTTGTAGGTTGCGCTCCAATCTCAAACACTCCACCTCCGATTCTTTCAGCGTCGGCGGCAACCTCCAGCTAAATTAGTACAAAGCCCTTTGCACCATAAAGTCTCTGTTCCTAATCTCGGACCACATCAACGCCACGCCCTCCAAGAGTTGTAATCTTGCAATGAGTGATTTAGGATTTGCAGTGGGTGAGTTTGAGTGATTTCTGGCACAAGTGTTGATGGTGTTTGGCCCTAAAACGGGATAACAGAAGCAATAAGGTGATCTTGAGATAAGGTTTGATGCGCTGTCTGATTTTCATTGGGTATTAGGATTGTACCTTAACGGAAACTTCCCATTTTGTTCTTAAATACACTATTTTTTCATAGTTGGGCAGTTGGTTAATATAGGGGGGTTTGACCTTTGTGCAATCAGCTGATAGATCATTTTATTTTATTTTATTTATTTATTTTTTTTTCACTTTACCCTTTATTTTTTTTTTTAATTCCAATTAACTCCCGCTATCCAACTAACTCACTATAATTCATAATTTTATCGTTTTAGTCAAAATGAAAAGATTAGATCGTTCTCTCTTTTATCCAAGTAATTTAGAGACAATGGTTATTTGATTTTATGTGATACAATATATATACATATAGGAGAGACAGGGTGAGAAAGAGAGAGGGAGACATACATAGAAACCTAAGATCAAATCACAAAATATTCATATGAAGAATAAAAAATAAAAAATGGGCTAAGGTTTAAAAAGGATTTGATGCATTTTTAATCCGAAATAACTATGTCAGCAATACATTAACCCAAGAATTGAACAGAAGATAGCTTATAACGTTCTACGCAAAACCAGGCCACCCTGAACTCCTCATTGAGGTGATGTAAACTACCCATTGTCATTTGATGCTTCAGTTTTCAAATGCCTAACCACCATGACCAAGTTGCTAATTCTGAGAGTTCATCATCTTGGTCCTGTTCAGGCTGTTCATCAGTGATCATCATCAACGCCATCAATGGCGACTCCTTAACTTATTCGGGAGAGAGTGCATCTTTCTGGGGCTTTCAGCTTTTGCATGACTTAGTGGGATCCTGGCCATAATTTCAATGAAAATCCATGCTCACTCACGCTGCCTTTAGATGAACCTCTTAATCTTTGCCAGAACTTTCTTTTTTTCCCCATTCCTAAAGGCGCGGAATTAGATACCCTCGTATAGGATTCATGTTCTTGCTCCTCAAATCTGGCTGACACACTCACCAAATCTGAAGCTGATAATACTATCTTAGAGTCGAAGGTAGAATCATAGACAGACATTGGGTAATGGGTAAACGAAGCTTTAACGAGCTCACCTGAAGCTCTGGTAAGCTTACTATCTACAACCACACAGAGGTCCTCTTGGCTGCTACTTCTCAATGCAGGCTCTATTGTTTCATCAAACTCATTGCACACAAGCTTTAAGGCCTGAACAACTTCACCCATAAAAGGACGGTGAGATACTTCCGGTTGCACACACATTGATGCGATTGCTGCTACCTTCACAACACTGTCAAATGTGTTATTTGACTTTATACCTGGGTCGATGATTGTTTCTAAGCCCTCCTTGGTTGTGAGAAGTGGACGAACCCAAGCAACCAAATTTTCTTGACCTGGCGGTTGTGATAAATCCACGGGCTTTCTTCCAGTTAGGAGCTCAAGGAGGACTACACCATAACTATAAACATCGCTTTTCACCAGAAGATGACCAGTCATTGCATATTCTGGAGCTAAGTAACTGCAAATCAGTTCACAGGACAGAGTGTTTCAGAGGCTAAAACACAGTAGCAGATAAAATCATAAACAAAAATACTATAGCATGCAGGAGCTAGAAATATAAACCCAACTCAGCACAATGAGGGCTTGTCCATTTGGGACTGGCAACAAAAGATGCTGACTTGCCATTCTGCACTATAGTTTAGTGGCAGCACAATCTGAAGGTGATATATTGTATTAAGATAAGAAAGTTCGTACCCAAAAGTTCCCATAACATGTGTTGATATGTGTTTGTTTCCCTCATCCAGTGCTGTTCTAGCCAATCCAAAATCTGAAACTTTAGGTGTAAAATCTTCTTCTAACAAGATGTTGCTGGACTTGAAGTCCCTATGTATAACACGAGGGCTTGAGTCCTCGTGCAGATAGGCCAAACCCCGAGCTGCACCAAGGGCAATCTTCATTCGTGCACCCCAATCAAGAGGAGCAGCTTCCTTGTCAGCTCCTGAGAGACAACCAAAAATCTCGGATAATCAAACAATGTAACTATATATATATATTGGTATATAAATTTAGCTAGATATGCATCTACCATGTAAATGGGATTCCACACTCCCATTTGGAACAAGTTCATAGACCAGGCAGCGGGTGTGGTCCTCTGAGCAGATGCCAATCAATTTAACTAGGTTTCTGTGGTGCAGACGACTAAGCATCTCAACTTCTGCCAAGAACTCGCGGCTCCCCTGCCGATCATCTCTCTTGAGAACCTTCACTGCCACCTTCCTTCCATCCTCAAGAATCCCACTATAGACAAGTCCAAAACCACCCTCTCCAAGTATCCTTGAAGCCTCAAAATTATCAGTGGCTCTTTCTATGTCATTTAAGCTGAAAATCTTAGCAGTTCCAGTATATGACAGTAGGCTGGAACTAAAGGACATTGTTTCTGAACTGGGCCTGCTTCCAAATCTTAAAGGCACTGCAGCCCCTGTTAAGTTTAAATTTTATTATTTCTCAAGGTGATGACTACTACAAAACTGTGGCCAATATTCAGGGAAAAAAAAAAAAAAAAAAAATTCCTTACTAGAGGGACATTTGGAGGAAATAAACTTATCTAAGAAGTCAATCAGACAGAGAGCAAATTTACAATAATATATATATATAAAAAAATAAATAAATAAATAAAAGACAGACGTCAAGATTTAACAAGGCAATAGATTCAGGAGTATTTGAAAATTGAAAAACAGATTTTGAGTAGGGAATTTTTTTTAAATCACTCTGGAAAATATGTGATCTACAGCCAAAATAAATCACGACAACATTTCATCTTTCTGGAAAGTTCACAATTGTTTGGATGGTACACGATTATAAACCTCCTGATATATTTGGTGAATTCTATGTTTTCAATAGAAAATTACCTGATGGTTTTCCCTGGGAGGAGACCAAAACATGTGGTGAATGGTAAGGCTGACGTCTGCAACCTCCACATCTCAACAACAAAAGCCAAATAGCTCCCATTAATACAACAAAAGCTGTGGCGGATGATAAAACAATTACAGCAATCATGCTCCCACCAAGCCGATTCTTTTGTTTCCTTGGCACATCAACTGGTATAGGTTTTACTCCCCTTCCGTTGTTGCCATGACCAGGAAATGGTTTATCACCTATAATGCCAGCACTTGAAGGCACTGAAGGTGGAGAGGGTGGAAGACCTGTAGAGTTGTAAGATTTTAAAAGTGCATATCTAGACACAATATATATAACATGAAAATGACTTTAAAATGTTTACAGAAACTACTTCAATGAAGAGTTGAAAATCAGTTAAGCTCACTGAATTTTAATGTATATATACTGTAATTTTTTATTTTATTTTTTATTTTTTTATATATATATAGAAATACTAAATGAGAAGTAATTGTGTGAGAAAATACTATGAAACTATTCTGGATAACGGAGCTTCAATAAATACTTCCTCTTCCAACCTCCAAAATCTGCACTTCCTTTCTCCAAGAAAGCAGGTGTGCATGTGCTTCATTACAAATCATTCTAACAGTAATATTTCTTTATGCTAATAAATTTGAATGGGAGCTAGAACTTAGAAATTCTTTATTTTCAGAAAAAAATCCCAAACTCTGAAGATTGAAGCAATACCTGGATAGCGAACATATACCACTTCATAGGCACCAAAGAGGGAAGTCTTTATGGAAACCAGTTTGTGCCAGAACTTCTTGTAGATTAAAAATGCAGTAGAATGATTGAAGTTTTCTCCTAGTGGTACCAAGTTGATAAGGACGATGGTTTTCTCTAGCTGCTGACTGTCTGCATTTGCTCCCATAATGCGAACTTGACTTCGGTTTAGTGAAATGCCAGTTGCAATTTCCTTGGCTAGTTCTGAAACCAAAGGGAAGAATGTGTATAGGGCAACACTAACACTCAGTCTGACTTCAATAGGCCACACACAGCCACAGGGTGATCCAGGAGGCGAATATGTCAATGGCTCTGTGCATGTCACTGATGTACAATCTGACAATTGTATTTTTTTTAAAAAAAGAAAATAAAAGAGAAGCCATTTTCTGTGACAATAAGAAGTTGATAAAATACCGAATCAAATAGAAACGCGAGTCGTGTTGATACCATTTAGAGCAATGTGCATACATACCTCCATTAGGAGGCGGAGGTGGCAGCACCAAAATTGGTGAGGGTGGTGGAGTTTTCTTCTCTTTCTGGGAAGAGCTTGATGAAGATAGTGTAGGCGGAGGAACAGGCACTTGAGGACACAGAACATGATCACCATACAGTATGTATCAATACTTGCTGTTAATGAAATAGAGTACAAATATAAATCAAAGACAAAAATAAGTCTTCACATACTATTAAATTGGTTTGATAGGGTTGTTGATAATGGTGCTGGTGCAGGAGAACTCCACCCTGTGGATGACGGAAAGGGAGAATGTAACGGAGAGATGGATGGTCCACCTATATAAGAATAAATAGAAACAGAAAGAATGGTTAATGACAATTTTATTCAAGTATAGCAATATCAAATAAGTATGAGGACATTTTCAGTTGAAATATCTAACCTTGTGGGCTGTGAGTCGGTGAATGAAGCTGATTAGATGGTTCAGGGGCAAAGTTGATGACTTTTTTTCTTGCATGATGATGCTTAAAATATGATAATGAAGGCGAAGAGGCATAGCCCTGTATCCATTTTTTTGCAGTGCGTTTGAAAGATGATGTGGAAGGTGCAAATGCAGTCTTAGAATGCCTCATAGGGTTTTGACTGGGGGCTACAAACAAAAGAACATTTAATTTTTGATAGTGATGGACATGAAGTATATACAAATCTTCATTAAATTTTCTGAAATACCTTTAGCTGGAGAATGGTGCTCGGGTAATAAATGGTGGAACACTTTGTTTGGGGATTCTGGAACTAGACTTCTGTGTCTTTTCTGGCCAAAGCTTGGAGGAGCTGATCATTATATTGCAACAATCCAAATAGAAATTGATAAAAAATTTCTAGATGTTATTCATGTTCAAGCCCTAATTTGAGAGTGTAGAAACATGCTTTATCATGTACTGCTATGATTTGTAAATATGAATATATCTATGGTTTATTTAGAATGTTCCATCATAAAATAAATTGGGCAAGATCATGATCAAGTCAGTGCCTACACCTCTTTCGTTTCATCCCAAATTAGTCGACTGTTTGGGATACATCATGCTAACAACTGATTTTAATACGATTATGTTAGCATTGGTGATTAAATGAATATCAGGCAGTAATGATGTACCAAAAAAAAAAAAAAAAAGAGAAAAAGAAGAGATAATGTTCAGATGAATTACACAGCAGAACTGTAAACTATGGTATCTAGTATCATGATAGATGCTTCGCTATCAGATGCCAATCAATGAAGACCACAAGGTGGCAATAGCTATTAAGCTCTTCCATGGGTATTGGAGAACTTGTGTCATATCTGGAAGGAACTAGGTATTTGTTGTTTTGTGGTAAACTGAAGGGTTATAAAACCATCCACCAATCTTAGAACGATACAGAATTATGAAATCATAAATAAAAAACAAATAATGAATCTTAGAACGAGGAAAAAGTTACCATTTTGCAGAAATGTCTGACTTGCTCTGGTGGTTCTATAAGAACCGAAGTCACGGGTTCCTATTTTGAAATGGAGGAGCACCGAGGCTGCTCTTAGTGAAGGGATGTCAAAACCTGCAACAGAGTGCAAAGTTAATATGTCTCAATCAAGTTCAAATTCTGTTACTTTTTGTATGTCATCCTCTAAACCAAAACAATTAAAATAAAAATATAAATAAATGAAGCCTTTGAGCTGCAAATCGATTCCATGGAACTCAGAACTGAATTTTTGCACTTAAAAGTAAAGGTTTCTGTAACATTATAAAAGGAGAAATACTGTCAGCCACTTGTTCCTGTCAATTGTAATCACTCGCTTCCCTCTTTTAACTGGATCTTTCACAGGAAGTAAGTTTCAAATGACACTGAATAGCAAATAATGTGTTGATTAAGTTTAAACGAGACACTCTTTTTTATCATTAAAAAAGGTGTCGGGCGGTGATAAAGTTCCAGTGTTCATATGAGCTGAACATGACAAGGATTTTGCACAGAAATGAAGCCTAGATAAAAATATTTTGGATGAAAAGGTAAGGATTATTGGAGATAATGCTAAGAAATCACAATGTAAAATAAAGTCATGTATTGAACAGTCTGCTTGGATAATTGCTTAGATGATAAATATGAAAGTTCCAGCACATTATGAATCTGAGAAAGGAAGCGCTGATTTGGAGAACTGATCTCCTTCAAGGAGTAGAACAGAAACTTGAAGTTTTCCATGTTCAAAAGTTTATGAAAATTTTGACAATTGGTGCTTCAGGAAAACCACAGTTCAGTGCTCGATTGACTGCTCTTGTTACAGAAATCCATTCATAAAAACCTAAAAAGCAAACTGCACGTAGAGATAGTAGCAAACTGCCAATTGCTGGATTATACATGCATCACTGTTAAAATTACTGAGCTGTGAACAACCAACAATCAGTCAAGGTTCAGAGTACCAATAAATTTGTTTTGAGAACATGAAATTTTAAATGCAATGTTCAAATAACACACACACACACACACACAAAACATATAGGCCAATTGCTTTAAGATTTGGCAAAATTTTGTGAACTTTGAAACTGAAATAGGTAGAATTTTTCATTAAATTTGGAACCAGTTAAAATTTGAAAATCTAAATTGGGAATAAGGAACTTTGTGTGTTTAAATTATGTATTAATATGCTTAAAATTGGCCTTTAAAAAAAATGTTGAGATTTGGTGAAGATCAGCTGAATAATTAAAAAAAAAAGGAAAAAAAAAAGAAGTGAAAGATATGGCCTTCAGAAATCAAAATCTGCCAAACTTCAATTCTGGTATCTTGAGATTTGGGAATCAGACTGAGCCCTTTAATTCTGTAAATTTACAGCAAAAACCCATGCCAAGAAATGAACATTTGAAGGTTAAAAGAATTTTGGATAAAACACATGAACTTGAAACTTCAAACTAGAGTAATAAAATAATCTCTACTGCAATGCAGACATGGAATTGCCCACGTAATGATAGCAAGTATTTTTATTTATTTTTTGTTTCTGTTTTTTTATTTTATATTTTATTTTTTTTTGTCCTGGTATGAAGATCATAGTTAGTGAAATTCAATGCAAATTCTCAACTGAAACAATATTTTGATGCAACCCTTTGAAATATAAATTAGTTCAAACAAGCGAAATAAATAAATAAATAATCTAATAAAATAGAAATGACATTTCATTCTCCCAATTGTTTGATCACCGACAGTTAATTTCAAGATCCCAGATCCCAAATTTACCTCAAACTCAAAATCCATGGATGCCCAATTGGAGATAATCAAGAAATTCAATGGATCAAACAAAATTCAATCCAAAACAACTCAACAACAAAGGAAAAACAAACCCATTACCTGCAGATCCATGAACTAGCAAAGCAGTGACAGCAAGGAAGAGTTTGATCAACATGAAAACCAATTGCACCCCCATCTCCTTCCAAAATGCACATGAGATCAAACCTCAAGATCTCTTTCACTTCTCAGTTCTCAGACAGTGGTTCAAAGACAAAGACAGAACAAAAAATCATATAAATTTGAAAAATGGAGTGAGGTAGGACATGGATAATACCTTTAAGGAACAACAAGACAAGTGGTTTAGATCATAGGAGGAGACCCACAAATAAGAATAGTAGTATCAGTGAAGTAATGAGAATGCAGTGTGGAGGAAACATAGGATTGGGTTAGGTGGGAATTAGAAACCCCCAAATGTTGTTGCTGTTGTTCTTTTATTCTGTCTAAGCTCTGGATTTTGCAGAGCTTTGAGAGTTCTAATGGAATAGTTGACATCATCAGTCAAGTGATTAAAGATAAATTAAAACTGATCAAGCAAAAGGCAGAACAGTAAACTTACAGAGCCAAGTACCAAATACCATACACTTTGAAAAGGGTAGTTTGGTGGGGATGAGAGAGAGAGAGAGAGAGGGGAAATGATTCTCTCCAATAGGGATTAAGGGTCTGAATCATGTTAGTTGAAACTTTGAAAAACTTGTACCTTTTTTTTAACATTTATTTGTTTATGTCAGATTACAAATTCTAAATTGCAATCATAGCACCAATGACTGATTGCCTTAATTTTGTGTTTCACTTACAAAATAAAGATCTTGTCAGATTCTTCTTCTCCTCAATTTCATTAATAATCAGCCTTGAAAATTGAAACTACACTGGGGTTTCAAAGAGAGGTGCACAGTATAGTGCCCACTCGCAGCCTATGACGCATTTGTACTTTATTTTAATTGTGTCATGCATATGATATGGAGTATATTTTTTTTATAAAAAATAAAAACAGGATTAAAGGTAAATCAGAAAAATGAATATTATTAAATATATTGACTTTTCGGTCATTGTTTAGTGCACTTATTACTTATAATAATTTAATTTAGAGTAATACTATTATAAAGAGAGCTATTTATATTTAATCATTAAATTGAAATTGCTATTATTTTTATCTAAGTAAAAAACACACTCACATGCACTTATTTTATTTATCTTTATGAGGACTTGAACTATCCATCTTCTATTATGAAAGGTGAAAAAATGCATACGTAAATGAATCATTTGATACATCTTTCAATTTGGTAGTTAAATTTCACGATTTTAAAAATTCTTTTGATAGCATTATCCGATAAATTTAAATCTCATTAAGTGAAAACATTATTTAGAGTTTAACAGTCACATGAATTAATGATGCTAACTTCAAATTTGTACCTATTTGTCAGACTGACTGTTTCAATATTTTTGTAACAGGGACTACCTAAGTGACTAATAATCTTGTATGCTCATATTATGTTTCAGCACTTTGGATTAATTGAAACTACTCTATAGAGTTATTTTATTAAATAGGAATATATACATATACATGTCTATGTATATGTTAATGCGATTGAAAGCTAAACCAAATTCTTTGAACCAACCAACCTTGTTAGACAGCTATACCAACACATTTAATATTTATGGGCTATATGAGATCTAGTATGATGTTTGGTCGTTGTTTTGGAATGGAAATATAATAAATGACATATATATCTATGGTGGTATATACTGTCCTCATCACCCAAAACATGGTTGGTTTGATAGTTGGTTTGGAGTTTGGGATGTGGTGGTGGTCACCACCGCCACCGTCTTTTTGATACATAATGACAAAGAAATGCTGACTAGGGGGCTCAAGTATGGCGCAGTCACACAATCAATGTCTCCTTCTGCTTGTGTCGGTGACAAAATTAGGCATTCTTTAAACAAAATTAGGCATTCTTTAAACAAAGTTTTGCTTTGCCTATTGATTAAGTCCACTTTCAATATTGGTTCAATCCCATTACCTACTTTTCTTTTATCAACTAGTGTGTGTGCGTGTGCGCGCGCGTGTGCGACTAATTGACCCTTCAAAAGTGTTTTGGCAAGAGTAATGAGTGAAGAGAGGAAAAGATAAGAGGCCGAGGAAAAAAGGTTTTGCTACCATAAACCCCACTTTATTTGCCATTATCTCTTCCTTTCCAACTTTTCAATATATTGTATATATCTTAGGAAAAAGGGGTGAGAAATTTTGAATGAATGGAATAAAGACGGGGACTATCACTTTGATAAAGTAGAAAGGCAATTAATTAATTCATAATGATAAAATAATAGTAGGAAATAACGTGGTGTTGTATTACACCGAACAACTGTGATTGCTTACACGTGTGAATGATCATAACTGTTTGTTTTTATTAAATTTATTTAAACTGTCATAAATTATCAAAAAAATTAAATATTTTAAAAATAGTTTGAAAAATCATTTGACTGAGTGCTTTCTAAAAAGTAGAAAACAAAGAATAAATAAATCCTTCATCTTGTTGTCTAAAAATTAATTTATGTTTTAATTATTCCTAAACTTTTTTTCAGGTAACAAAACATCAAAAGTTGGAACAAAAGTAAGGAGTTAATATTAAAATTGACTTAGCAGGTCACGCAGAACCTAATTAAAGACTATTTAGGTTGTGATATCGAGATGGGTTCTAAATCTTATCTTAGGGGCTTAATCTAACTGTTGACTAGAAAAAAGAAAAAGTAAAACTAATAAAGATAAGATCCTGCATGATTTTGGTACTTGTCTAGCCCAACTTTGGTTACCAAGTGGGCTGGTCAGATTGGATTTGGGGATTAAATAGTTGGGTTGGGAGTTACCCCACTGCTAATGGACCAAACCCGACACAACAGAACTCCCTCAGAATTCTCTACTTCCCCAACAGGCCCAACTAAAGTATAGGGCCACTTTGTTTGTCGAAGGATAACAACTTGCTTTCTGGATAGTTTTTTTATGTTCACAATTGGAGGAACGAATGTCCTCATTCCTATAGCACCGTTCACATAGTCATAGGCCCAACTTGGTGTCCATGTCATCATACACGATCTCTAGATACTTGCAAGTAAGTGTTTGGCATTTTAAAAATATATTTGTAATTATAATAATTAATATGTATTCAATTCTTTTTAAATACTCCGGAATCCGGATTATATATTTTATCTGAAATAATTTATTGCTTATTAATGAACATAAATTATCCACACCAAATATGATGATACTTGGATATGATTCTGTAGGTGTCCAAAATATGTTAGCCCACACGGCCTACATAGTCAATGAATTACGCCACATCATCAATAATGACCACATAGCTTGGTCAAATAGTCAACAGATTACGCCACATTAGTAACGATGGCTTACAAATCAAATGGTCAATGGTCAAAGATATGTGCCATTTACCACGTTATTACTATACCTCGAACAGAAGAGCGAAGACTTAAAGACTTGAGTTGGGAGCAGGACCCGGGATTACCTGGGATCTGAGAGGTACTTAGTTTGGTGGCTGAAGTTCAGGGCTCGTCGAGTTAACCCTCAACCTGACTTGCAGAGAGAAAAATACCATTTTGACTCCCGAAATTATCAACCTCATTTTAATATAGCTTTATAATTATTTGAGATATTTCTCTCTTTTAATTATTATATTAATTAATATGTGACGTCATCCAATGACATCATCCAACCTCTCACCTGGCCTATATAAGGAAGTGTTCCAAGGCCAAGAGGGGTAGAGAAAAACAGGGAGGAAAACACCTCCTAGACATTGAGAGCTCTAAGCCTCTCTCTCAGAGGTTGTCTTTATAACCCTTAAACATTTACCAAGGGAGTCAATGGTGTTTAGTACACTGCCATCCTCTTTCTCTCTCTCTCAAGTTTGCTTGGGCTTCCACCTCTCTCAGTCCACCTCGGATTCTAGGTAATCCCGAGTCCTGCTCCCAACTCAGGTCTTTAAGTCTTCGCTCTTCTGTTCGAGGTACAGTGATAACGTGGTAAATGGCACATATCTTTGACCGTTGACCATTTGATTGGGCCATCGTTACTAATGTGGCGTAGTCTGTTGACTATTTGACCAAGTTATGTGGTCATTGTTGACGATGTGGCATAATTCATTAACTATTTGACAAAGCTATGTGGGTCGTGTGGGCTAACATATTTTGGACACCTACAGATTCTTACTCCTTCCAAGTGCATCATATTGAGGTTTTTGGGGGTGCCAACTTCGGACAATTATAATTTGTTCATTTTAAACTTAAATAGGATCGTTTTTGAGTCTAAATTACACATTTTTTAGTTATCCTTCTAATTGGCGTGGGTCTCATTCTATAATTTAACTTAAAATGATTATTTTACCCCTCATGAGCCTAGGGTTCCGGCATGAACCCGAAGTCGAGTTACCATTCTTTAGCGATCTAATATGATCATAAATGTATGACTAGTATGAGCTCATTATGACTCTTTGCACTTAGCAAGGTACGTAATGACCATTTTGTCTTTGGTGTCCTCGGGTCGTGTAGGACCTGGCTAGCGATCTGGATCCCCCCGAATCTGGGTTGTTACAGTTGAGGTGTTTCATTATTTGAGCAATTAAGAAGGTCCATGAAGATGATGGATACCAAATGACCTTATCCTATTTCTATGGGTTTGGTGTTGGTAAGTTAAGTGTAGGCAAGAGCTGAGGAATTAGTGTACGTGGTGATGACAGGTGGGAAGACCATGCTGAGCTAACAATGAAAGAGCAAATTTCGGTCTTGCTATCATAGCTCGAGTCAATGATCTGTTGAGGAGAAACAAATTGATACAAAGGCCCTAATTGGCTCCAATTGTCAAACCGAAAATTGGAATGATTCCCATTTCCAATTTCAACCTTGACAAGGGGTTGGATGGTTTCCCTGAGGCTGAGAAGCCTCCTCCAATTCCAAGAGCACTGTCTAGGTGTTTTATGTTGGAATTTATATATATATATATTTAAATAATAAAAATTATTTTATGATCCTATGCACTACGTTTTCTAAAATAGGATTGTAATATGATTATTGATACTTGATGAATTAGGTTGTACTTTCCAATTTGGTGGTCTAATTGAGAGTATAGTTTTATACCGTTGGATTGTGGTTTTCCAACTTATTTGGTGTGATTTAATTCTAACCACTGATATCTAAGTTTCCATGATAGGAAGGGAGACTTAGATGCGCTTGTTTGTAGAGAAGCCGTCTCCCCTGTTGTTGTTATATATAAGGGTTTTAAAACCCTTATTCAATCCTATCGTATCGACAACTTTCAGAAGGGGGTAAAACGCTCTAATTTTTCAGATTTCTCAAAGAGCACTAAGGAATTCTCAAAGGTATCTAAAGTTTAATCTTCTAATCAGGTATAATATCAAAAACCTCTCAAATCAATTTTGATTTCTACGTGTTATTTATTACTTAAACCCAACAATTGGTATTAGAGCAATGTTAGAATTTGTAGAAATCAAAATAATAAAAATTAATTTAAGATCTAATAAACACAAAAATTATAATATTTGAATCGCTGTTTTGGATTCATTATTCTTTTATTATGAAATACATCAATTCATGATTGGGTAGTGATTTCTTCCTTGATTGTGCCAACTGTTGTTGTTAATCAGTCTCCAATGTAAGCACTGTTATTTACGTCCCAATGAAAATTGTGTAATTGTTGTTTGCATGCACAAATATGGATTTATATATATAAAGATTGGTGTCTTTTTTTTTTTTTTTTAAAAAAACTAAAGTACCATGATTGCAAATCGGTTTTGCTTTCCGGGCATATCTTTCACCATGTTTATATATTATTTTATATATGTGTGAATCACTGTTGTCTATGTTTTACATGATTTGGGTTTTAAAGTATGTATGGGTCATTCAATTGAGTATTGGTTGACATCATCTTTTAAGATAAATTCAATAAGCAATATTATTTAACTCTTCCTATACAACTGTGTGCATACTATGTATATAGTTAGGTGCATGATACACTAGCAGAAATTCTTAAAACTAACATCTCACAAGAAATCAATTTGTAATGTATGGATTGAAGTACGTTCATTTTCATGACGAGTTGAGCAAACATATGCCGTGGTGTTTGAGGGCTGCATATGGGTAATAGCTATGAAATTAGGACAGCAGATAAGCCTTCCAACACTAATAGATCACCCAAATTATGGAGCAATATACTTGCTTATGATTTAAATTATGATTTGTCTACTTCAAAAATATATTTTGGTGTTTTTTTCTTCTTGTAATTAGCTGTTAAGGATCGGGTTAAATTGCTTAAATTGTTTGGAAGTAAATTTTCCATCTACTTAGTTGGACTTTGGCCTAACCCAGACTACTATATCATGCTGATTATTGCACTTTATGGCTTTACTCCTTGGTTTAGTTATCTGGATTTGGTGTTGCATCTTGCTCTTGGTGAGACCATATCTCTAGGAATGGATTTGTCAATTTATAAATGACAAATCGCAAATGTGTTGTCAATGGATACTACTTGATATGACTAGAGAGGACTTTATCTCTAAGAATGGATACTTGAATTTTATGTATACACAATATTCTGGTGACTCATCTATTATTATCATTGTGGTATTTGTGTGTTGACTACTTGAGTGGCCATTATCAAAATTTGTGATTTATCTTCAAACAGTGTAATGAGATTAAAGGTCTTGATTTGCGTGTACATGTTTCTTAAAGGTTTTGATAGCTCCAAGATTGCATGTTCAGTAGTGCGATTAACAGTAAAAAAAATATATATATATGAAATTTCTACTTTCATGAATTTAAAGTGGACTTGTTTATTTGAATGTGTTTATACATACATGCATCAAATGCATAAATGGTCAGTGGGGTATTAAAGTGTGATTTGTTTTTGCCTAGTTGATGTTAGGTTGAAAATTTTAATTCATGTTATATTACATGTGTCAGTGACCTTTGAGTGTGATATGAGGTTGTGTGGCTATTTAGTCACACCCTGCCCAGTGTTTATTGAGTAATTCATAATACCTGTTCAATTTTAAGTTGAAAAACTTATGGGAGCTTGCGTGCCATAAGTAAGTATTATTAACCTAATTGATTTAAAGATTCAAAGTACTTTAAATTGTTTGTCGGATATATAATATTCATGCATTAAGGTTTTGTTATTTTATTTTAATTAAAGTGTATAAATAATTGAGATTTTTAAATCTTGATTGATATGCATGTTATTATTATATTATTCACAGTAATTTCTTAAGATGTATGAGGAGACTTTATTTTATTTGTATTCAAGTCATTTATATTACAGTGAAATTAATCAAGTGTTCCATAATATTTGGGTTTAGTTTATGTGCATTATAAAGAAATTGTTGAACTTAAATAAATGGAACTTTTGCAGTTTAGGTTATTCCTTGAGGTTTAGGAAGACCTGTAAAGTGCTCGTTTCAAATATGGTAGCCAAAGTGGGTGATGCCTGCCAAAAGGTGACACGCTCACGGAGGTTATTATTTTTTGAAATTTTAAGACATTGGTCTTATTGAGGTCTCACGGTACACTTACCTACATGAGGACATTTGTTCTGTCAAAAGGTGATCAATGTCTTAGTGTGGGATAAGTGAGTAGAATATTTGAGAATGCTTAAATTATAACTAAATAACCCTCTTGCCAAAAGGTAGTGGAAGTGTTTAGTAATAATTCAAGTATAATCAAATAGGTTTATGTGTGATTTTATTGCAGGTTTGGGGGTAAAGTAAAAATCTAAAATTCTGCCAAAAGGTGATTTTTAGATGGTATTTTATTTGTTCTCACATGGTGAATGGTTTTTGCACATAGTAAAACACCTTGAGAAATTCGACTTAAAACTCCAAGCACGAATTAAAATAATAATCCCTAAAGCTGTGACATATTATTTTATATGTTGTTTACGTGGTGTTATTCAATATAACATTCATTTAGGTCACAGACGCTTCCGCAATTTAAAGATAGCTCATAGGGATTAAACCATTGAATGGTTAAAATTATATTGTCTAGAAGACAGGTTTTGATATTATATTGGGTTTCTTAGACTATGAGTCTGTTTTTTTTTTAGGAAGAAACCCATATGCCCAGTGTGGAGTCTTCTTAGGTAGACAAATTGTTGCATTTTAAGAGGACTAAAGGTACTACCATGCCATTAGGTTAATTTATGCTTCTATCGGTTATACTATTCAGGGTGGTATTCTGGTTTGATACTGCCAAGGAGCTTCTTGATTTAATCAAGAAAAAGTTAATGGGCATTAAGAAGCAACTACGATACTATTATCTAACATGGTTTTGTTAGTCAAATATGATAGCAATGGTTCAGTGAGGGAGTACATCTTTAATATGTGCAAGCTGGTTAATAATCTGAGGTAGTAGGGAATCATATTTGATGATAAGTTATTAGTCCACATGGTGATATATTCTCTGCTTAGGTTTTTTCAGCTTTTCAAGGTGAATTATAATTCACAAGAAGTTAAATGTGGCATTAATCAGATGTTAGCACTTTATGTGATTGAAGGGGAATGACTCAAAGGTGTTAAAACTGAGTCAGCTCATTTTGCCGTGACATCCACTACAAGAAAAGTGTGTTTTTACGACTAATATTTACGAGGCTTATTTATTTTGCCCCGTAAAAACTGCATTTGACGAGGTTCAGAAGGAGTTCCTTGTAGTTGTTACACGCTTTTACGGGGTCAGGAATAGAATCCTCGTAAAATATTGCTTTCACGGGTTGTTGAAGGTGCTCGTTAATATATACATATATTAACGAGGCAGTTGTCAACTTTAACGGGATATAAGTGCCTCGTTAATGAATGTCAACTTTAACAGGGTGTAAGCGTCTCGTTAATGAAGGTTAATTTTAACATGGTGTAAGTGCCTCGTTAATGAAAGTCAATTTTAACGGCATGTAAATGCCTCGTTAACGAAGGAGGCTAAAATTTCACCTTTCCCACACAGTTTCACGAGATAAAATAGGGTAAAATATCACTTGAAATAAGCGCCTCATTTTCCCGCCCACAGAAATTCTAACTCCCGCGCCAAAGTTGATAATCAGTCAAAGCCCGCGTGGAAAAAAAAAAAAAAATTCCCTTTTCATTTAGACGAACCCTAGCGGCTTTTATCTGTATTTGCTCTCCAGCGCAACCAGTCCCCATTACCAAAGGCCTTTGTCTCTTTTTCACAGCAACAGCTTCTGAACCCACCATACCCATCGGAGAAATTGAGCTTCAACGGAGTAGTCTACACTTAGTTTCTACTCAACCCAAAGGTTCCTACTCAAATTTCCCTATTGGCTGACAAATTCGACCCAGACCAAGGCTCTAATCAGTTTCTTTCTTCCTTCATTTCTGCGAGGTTGAAGTCAGAGAGTTGAGAGAGAAACCATCTCAAACTATTCCGACCCAGACCAAGGCAGAGCTATATCTTCAACTCTCTCTCTACCCTCTAAGGATCTGAACGCACATTAATTCTTCAGGTAATATGCAATCCCTCTTTCTCTAACATTTTTAGGGCTTTTTTCAATCTCTCTTTCTCAAAAATTTTAGGGGTTTCTTCAATCTCTCTTTCTCTAACATTTTTAGGGCTTTTTTCAATCTCTCTTTCTGAGACATTTTTAGGATTAACGCATGGTTTTTTATTTTTTATTATTTATTTTTTTTTCTCTGGTTTTTTGGTAAATTGTGTTGGCTGAATTTGGTTTGTTTTTGGCTGGATTTGGGTTTTATTATTTTCCATTTCCTAATTGATTGTGTTTCTCTTTTTATTTGTATTATGTACTATATATATAGATATATATTGTTTGTGCTATATATAATCATCTTTTGATTCTAGTCCAGCATTATGATTCACTATTTTATTTATTCGACTTATTTTGGATGGTGTTGGAAAACCTTTATATTGAGTGTATCACAAGAGCAAAAATAGTTGACAATCATGAGCCTTTACTTCCTTCATATGAGTGAGACCGGATTTGCCACCTGGAAATGGAATGTTAGAATTCCAAAAAGAATGAAGAGGCTATTCTCCGGAATTAGGAATTCGTCTTATCAAAATTTGTGAACATAGAAACTATATATATATGGATTATTTTTTTTCCTTGCGAATAAAGAACTTAACCACAAAATAATTGTCACAAGTTTTAAAAGAGATATGATGACACGAATTAGTAAATAGTCAAAAGATAAATATAGCTTAATGCAGGAAAATGAATCTACATTTTGAATGAAAATAAATTACTTAATCACAAAAAAATCTACTGTTATTCTAATGTAGCTTTTCAATTTTTGCCTGAAAATGAAGATAATAAAAGAATTTATGCATAATTGTATAATAAATTTGAATTATCTAACATGCTTGTTAGGTGTATGTCCAACCACACATTTTGGATACATATCACACATTAATGTCAAGGCGTCGTGTGTTTGACAAGGATATGCCATGTGCTTTTTAAGAGTTCATGTAAATTACTCTAGTTTGATTTTGCAAAAAGTCATGATTGTGGCCTTCACTGAGCTTCATGTTCAATGTGATTTGTCAAACCTCATCCCAACGGTATATCTGATATCAAACCAGTTGGTCCGATAATGAGACACAAGTCAGTTTTTTGTTAAAAAAAAAAAAAAAAAATTCTTTCTAAAAGTTAATGCAAATACACACACTTTCCATATATTTTTGCCCCTACGAAGAGTCATTGAACACTTGATCTCTCAAAATGAAAGAGAAGCTTATATCATCTAAGCTAGATTTTATTGGTGACACGGGTCAAAGTTATCAAAGCATTCCTCAAGCTTTTTATGTGACATAAGAGCCACACTTTCTCTCAAAACTACAATAGAGATGAATTTGTTTTCTTCTTGTTCACAAGTTTTTAACAATATTGTTAAAGGGCCTAGTGTTTGCCCTTTAACAATATTGTAAAGGGGCTACAGACCCTTTAACAAATAGGCAAATGCTTGTACATGGAATACTCGTATCTCTAGACATTGTAAAATGGGAAGTGTAATTTTATCCTTTTCCCTAGTTCATCTGGAATTGTATAATATACTTAATTTAGTTGAAAAATTAAGTTAGAATGAAATCATAAGGACAAATTTGATGTCTCATTTTATTTTTGTTAATAAGTTGACTCTATTGACAATATCTATGGGAGAAATCCAACACATAATTGCCAGTATATATATATATATATATATATATATTTAATGAATAAGAGATACTCGACCATGTAATTGTGTTGCATGTATCACCTTTTAATTAATCTCATAGTTTCTGCCATGCAAACCATGAACTACTATTGATGTGACCTACTTGACTGATGGTTGAATTTATCAAATAGGCTGAAATGGGGCTAAGAGGGAGTTGAGCTACATTAGACTAACAGTAAAATCTAAACAAATTACTTAATCACAAAATAATTTTCAGGCAATTTCCAATGAAAACTCATTATGGGCATTCTGCTACTCTACATGGCCAAGCTCTAAGTTGTAGAACAGGGAATTTTTTTCTATCTAAGCTGATAGTTGTGTTGCGCAAATAGAAAATTAGTTCTGAATTTTTTATTTCTAGCTCTTTTGCTTTAATTGTTTGATTCTTATACTTTGTTTATTTCCCATGCCCCATTCTCTAGTTATATTCATAGATGTTAATGCATTCATCAGTGATATTCCTGCATTACATAGTATGTCTATTAGTTTTAATCCTTTGGCAACCTCGTATCACTATTATACCCATTTGTTACTTCACTCACCAAAAAAAAAACATAAAAAATAATGTTCAATTACAAAAGATTGGTTGGCATAATTGATTTTTAATTTTTTTATTGTTAATCTTGATATTGTTTAAACTATGACAGCAAGAGAGTCATGGTAAAAAATTTATTTTATCATAAAATGGACATTTAAGCTGTAGAAATAAAAAGTGAAAATGTGTAGTGTTTTTTTTTTTCAATTTAAATGAAGATCTAGAAAGTAAAGTAATTCTAGTCGAACCAGTTCTAAGATCTGAAAATTGTTTAATTCTTTCTATCTAACTTCAAATGCTTCTATATTTAAATGCAGTTCCATGTCAATATCTAATGGAAGACACAAATAAGAAAGTATCATATGGTGATGGTTACTTGAAAATATCTTTACTAGCATTAGAAATTTCATTTTAAAAGTTGATTGTTTGACCCATATGGCTTTATCTGTAGCAAGAAACATGAATATTTTCAACAATTAGAAGTTTTAATATTGCTCTTATTTATTTGTACAAGGGTAATTGAATCAAATGATTTTTATCCATTCTTTTATTTATTTATTTATTTTTTTTTCCTAACAAAAATAAAAAATTGAATCAATAGTTTGGACAAAACTATGGTCATGTAGGAGAGTTTCTGCTTCTGCACGAAGGTTTCATTTTGATCCCTAGAGGGGGTCTGTTCAATTCCACATGACACCACCATGGCCATAATTGTTGTCTCAAAAGGGCTTGGCCTTGATATAGATGAGGTATATGGTATTGTTTACTGATTTCTTGCTGAAACAATATGGTATTTAAGTTTCTAATCTTTTTGGTATAATTAGGGAATGGTGTCTAATGTTTCTCTTTAGTGGAGTTTGGACATATTTAGGTGTTATCAAATCCACAATAAACTTCTTAAAAGTTTTAAAAAATGTGGCAAATTAGTTTTAAAAAATTATCAACAAATGGCCTGAATAGATAAAAATATTTTTATCGGTTGGTCACTGGATTTGCTAGCTTGAAGAAAAAATTTATTGAACCTTGACTGTACTGTAGTATTGTGGCATTTAATTTGATGGATAGAATTTTCATTGATCGAGCTTTTATTGGTCCACATGATTGATATTAATTACATGTCACCAAGGTTAAAGGAAGCAGAAGGGGTGTGTACATATTTAATCAGTTATAGATACTTGTATAGATTTTATGTTCACACCACCATTGATAAACTTTTACTTATTTCTGGAAGCTGTGTGAATCTATCATGTATAGTGCACATATTTCTCGTAAGCCATGGGTAATTTTGATCGACAAGGGTGAGTCTGCAATGACATTTATGGTAATCATCCAATTTATTAGCTCCCTTCGAACTAGAGCCAATCACACATTTACATAATTCCTTGAATTTTAACACAGATTTAATAATTCATATTTGTAAATTGTGGCTGGTAGGTTACCTCTTTACTGTGTAATTGTTTCGCCATTCATCAACTTGTCGCTTGCCCTTTTATATTGTCATCAAATATTTATCCACAATATAGACATGTCACATGGATAAGACTACAGTACTACACATGGTTTTCTTTATGTTGGATTCACATGTAAGTGTACTTGCATCTCTCTGTTCAAATTATGATGCATTGCCTATTGTGCCACTGCAAACTTTTCAGGGCAGAATTGTTCTCGGAATCTTAACGAAATCATACACCATTCAAACACGAATCTCTTGACTTTGAAGAAGATACGGATCAAGTATGTTCTATTATGTTCTTCCACCACTTGCACTCCTTATTATATAGATGCTCATATCTCCCTGACATGACATTTGTTTGTATCGTTTAGACATTTTTTTTCCACCATGCCCACTGCCTTACCTGCTTATACTTTGAATATTACAGACATGCAATTTTCATTTTCTATTATGGCTTTTCATGATAACTATGTCCAATCAGTTGTCTCATCTGATGTGTTCTTAACCAATTTTTCTCATCAAATAAGAATTTGGAGTGTCAATATTCTCCGTTTTGCATTCGAGTTGTGTCCTTGCTTTTATATAGTAAATGGTGTACTTACTAATGGCAAAAAATAATTAATTAACACTCATATAAACAAATCAAAACTGTCAATGGGACACCAGAAATCTCAGGGATCACCCACTGGAGAAAATACAGGCAACTAAAGTATTGCCACTTCACATATGAACACCTCTCTCTCTTTCTCTATATACCTAAGTAATTCACATGGGGAAAAACAAATGATAAATCCATGTTACATGCTTTCATATTTTTGTTTAATTTGTATCGTCTCTTGACTCTCTTGAACATGCATGGTGATTATTGAAAGTTAAGGGAAGGCTTGTTTTCATTAAATTTTGTTGTTTGCTGAAGCCACGTTCAAATTATACCACTGCCAATGCACCTTCATTTTGATCAGCATATATAACTAGTTGAGCAGCATATATTGATCAGTAATTGACAATTTTATGTAGTTGTCTCTCCCTTATTTTCATTTTGGACACCTTTCTTATAATTAAGTAGTGGTTGTTACACTTAAATGTGCAACCTTCTGTAGCCCCTGCATGAAGAATTAACAAGAAATAGTAATTTCTTTCAATTAAATTTTTTGTAATTAATAATCATGGCAGAATGGTTCTAGATTCTGCAGAAAATGTTGAAACAAGGTAAAGTATAATAACTTGTGCATTAAAATTTAGAACTAGAGAACAACTTTATACTTTACCTTTTTAAAATTTTTTGGGCTATTTGTGGTACGTAAATAAATACAAAACATGCAATAGAGAATTTTAATTTCTCTCTCTAAGATAAATACAAAAACACACACACATACGGAGCATATATGGACAAGGCCCTCTCCTTTTGATAACTAAAAAAGGGTTAGTGGTATTACTTGGACTGGTAGTAGTTAAAGAACAAAGATTGTTGAAGGAATAATATTAATGAGCATGTCTTTACTTTGGAAATTGAAATAATGATACGTTCAAGTGTGTTACAAACTACATTGGCACGAGGCTATGTTAGTAGACTGTTAGCGGCCATATTTTGAAGATATGAAATTGAGAATATATATATATATATATATATATATATATATATATATATATATATATATTTTATGTCTCATTTTATTGATCATAGGCATTTCAGCGATTGTATTGTAGTAGTAATCATACTCTTTTTCTAATTTCACCTCATTCATCTTCTTCTTCCTGTTTTTTTTTTTTTTTTTTTTTTTTTTTTTTTTTTTTTTTTTTTTTTTTTTTTTGTGTGTGTGATGCAGGTAACTGCTTGGTTTGTACCATGGACAATGAGGTGAAGGAAGTGTCTGAAAAATTGAAAGTCAACTTCTGCTGATGATTAAAGAACAATGTGAAGATTGACTTATTAATGTATTTTTGACAGACAATGGATTTTCTTTTGCAATTTGGCACATTGAACTATGATGAATTGTCTTTTGATATGTTTAATGGTATATGAATTGTTGAATTATCTTTTGATATGTTTAATGGTATATTTGGTTATTGGTATTGTTAGTCACTAATTGACTCTAGAGGGGGGGTGAATAGAGTCAATGGCCAATTTTTACAATCTATAAAATATTAAATCTAACAAACTGTTAAGCACAGAGGAATTGAAACATTCAAGCAGTATATGGCACAAGTATAAGAGAGATAGAGATGAGAGATTGCAAACTATGACTCGGCGATTTAGCGAGGTTCGGAAACTCCTACTCCTCGGCTCAAGGTCCCCCTTGAGACTTTCCAAATTCACTAGAGCTTCTCCTTAATGGTGGAGAGCAAATCTTCAATTTGAAGCAAAACCTTGCTTCTTCTTCCTTGCTAGGAGAACACTTTTCTCCTAGGCTTCTTTTGGGTCACACCAACCCTTACAAGGTTGTAGCAAAGTTTGTAAATGAAATACAAGATTGAATCTCTCTCAATAGATGTACAAATGTAAGCTCACAACTAGAGTTAATAAGAATATTAATGAAGCTCAAGTTTTAGGATGAGAGAATGTAGAGATTGATGAATGAAAGCTCAGAGAAAGAATTTATGGCTATTGAATGCTCTTGAATACTCTTATTGAATGTTCTTTCAAGTGGTGTAATTGGTTCAGCAGAGAAGCCTTCTGTATTTAAAGAAATCCGTAACTTAATATATCTGTTAGAAGTGGTTGGAGGAATTAAATGCAGAAATTGCCGTTAGAATTTCAGATCTCTCAAAGGAGCCGGCTCTTTATAAAAGTGGAGGAGGCTCCAATATTGAGTAGAGGAGGCTCCAATATTAAGTAGAGGAGGCTCCAATATTAGTAGAGCAGGCTCCAATATTTGGGAGGCAGCTCTTTCCAAGAAAAAATTGTTCTACGAACCAATTTAAGCTATTGGAGTAAAGAGAGCAAGCTCTACCTTGAGTGGAGCTGGCTCTAATACTGTGCAAGACTAAAAATAAAATTAACCGAGTCCCGGCTCCAATACTGTGCAAGACTAAAAATAAAATTAACCGAGTCCTGTGCACTTCCTATTGATATGTAGCTTGCATATATATAAAGTTCAGGAATAGATTTTACGTATTTTAAAAACTGAATTTAGAATGAGTATGCATGAACCTAAAATCTTGAGCTTCAAAATATATTCAAATAAATTTTAACATTAAGTCTAAAGTTCTCACTATCCTATCTACCCTTTTATTCATTTCTTGAACGTGATTGATTAGGCTTGATGGAGACTTGCTTTCTTCCTTTGAAATGCTTGAGTGATATTTGAAGCCCGAGATTTTCTTTGATTTCTTGCAACATTGAAGCTTCTTTGAATCCATAGCTTGAGTACTTGAAATGCTTGAATTGATCTTTTAGCTTATCATTGAGGATTGGATATTAATCATCTATACATCACTTAATGAAAATATTAGTTCTTAAATATCATTAATGGTTTGTAATCATCAAAACATAAGATTGACCTTTAGAAAAAATCCTTAGGCCAACAATCTTCCCCTTTTTGATGATGACAAAACATTGATGTGTTTATTGACAAAGTGGAGTTGCATTTGAAAGAATGCTCCCCCTATCAATAAGCATATCTTGAAAATTATATCATGCTTGATTCTACAGCAGTTATTTTAGACAATTTGAAAGCATTTAAATTTCACAGACCTTTTTAGAGGTCTCCCCCTATCAATATGCATCTATCAAGATATTAAAAAGCAATAGAATAGACACATAGCATAGTAACACATAACACATCTGTCTCCCCCTTTGTCATCTCAAAAAAAATTTCATCTATAAAGGGCAAATAAATAGCAAATATGACATTTTATAAATGGCAGAAGTCAATACAGAAGGATAGTTAGGACACAACTACCATATGTTAGACAAAAGCATAGTTTATGATAAGGACTTCAAAAGTAAATGACATAAGTAAATAAAGCATAGCAAAAAAAAATGCTTCTCCAAAGCAAATATAGCACATAAGTGCACATAAAAAAAAGTTTGAAGCGGAGGGATACTAATCTAAGGAGAGGAAGGTCCATATTTGTTTCGAAATTCTGTAAAATCCTCATTAAGATGAGTGATTGCCATGTGCATTTCGTCAAGTTGAGTTTGTTGTTTTTCAAAAGTGGCTTGGTTTTGACGAGTGCCTTTAAGAATATCCAATAAAAGATCACGATTGGTGCAATTCGGAGCAGGAACTTCCTCATCTTCAGCACTGTCATCACTTTCATGATCTTTTTCATCCCCATCATCAACATCCTCAATCTCTTCTCCTCTAGCTCTAGCCTCTTCGAACCTTCTTTGCCTTGGATAAAACCACATGCCATTTGAATCCCTTTTTAGCCCCATTGAGTCCAGATTGAAGGCATCGAGTATATCTCTTGGGCCTAGTTTGGCTGATTCAGTTTTGTCAAGTGGAACGTTTTTATCCATGAAAATGTGAGTGAGAGCCATGGCATAATAGAGTGGAGTCTTTTTCTTATTCTTGCATGCCAACATGTGATGAAAGATGATATATGCCAAATCAAAGACTTTTCTATTCAAGACACACCAAATCAAAAAGATTTCTATGTGAGAGACTTTTGAGCGACTGCCGGTTTTAGGAAGAATGGAGTAGGTAATGATTTTGTGGATTAAGCGAGCTTCCATGGTTAATTGTTTAGATTTGACCTCTTTGGTATTGGTAGTGCGGGAATCATAGCTCATTTGACGAATTGCTTCTAGTTTGTCAAAACCTTTCCCATTGAACCATCTTTGGGGTGAGTAGAATTTAATACCATCCATAAGATGAAAAATTCTGGCAATGCTGCTAACATCTAGATGGAAATCCATTCCAGCCACATAGCATTGAAATTTCTCTACACCAGGCATTTTCTCAAAGTGGGTGTAGAATAATTGCACAAGTCTGGGATAATACTTGTTGTTCATCCCAACAAATGAACCAAGGCCAATAGCATCAAAGAGTTTATAGGTGTTGAGGTTAAGGTCGTCACAAATTGTGTGTGATAGAACTTTTTCTTTGGCCACTTTCCTAAGAAGAAAATCTTTATCATATGACTTCTTGTATGTAGGATTTCTATACAACATTGTTGCAGAGATTTGAATGGGTCTTGGAGGAGGATTTGGTTCACTAGGGCCGGATTCATGATCATGGGTAAGTTGAGTATTCCTAGTTTGGCCACGAGGAGGATTCTTTTTACGTGAGGATGAAGCCATGGATACTCAGAGTAGAAACCTAATGAAAACACAATAAGAATTCCAAAACCAAATTAATTTGACTGAATATTTAGAGTCAATTTGAAAATAAATTGAACCAATGAAAAAGCCTAGATTAATTTGCCCATCCAGTCATAATTTTGAGAGCAAAAAGAATGCATACTTGAAACCCCTTGAGACGATTGTTGAACAACAAGGTCAATGGATTTGGAAATGATAAAAATTAGTTCTAGAAATAGAAACCCAAAATGGAATTATAGGAGGTGATGTAACCTTCCAAGAACAAAAAAAAAAAAAAAATTTCACAGTTCAACATAAAAGCATATGGTTCGGATGCTTCCATTTGGATAGAATTACAAACTTGGTTTCATGAAATATAGTTCTAAATAAATTAATTCTTTTTGTTTAGTCATTATAGTAAAACTGCATCAACAAATTCAAGTTTTAAAAAAATTTGAGAGAGTGAATAAGCAAATAAATTATTTGTGAGAGTGAAATGGATACAGTGTTTTCAAGGGTTTCATGGACGAAGGATTAAAAGTGAGGATTTAAAAGAAATTAATTACTAAAGATTTATCTAAAAGGCTAGAACATAAGAAATTTGAAGAGAATTTGATGAAGGAAACTTACATGTGAAGATCCCCAATGAAAATGAAGGAGTTTCCTAGCTGAAATATTCTCAGGAGGCAGTAGCCGAAATACTTTCTAGAGGCAGTTTTGTTATGCCCAATAGTGAAGTGCCGAGAATGAAGAATGCAAATAACAACCTTCAGTGCTCTTGGAGATGAAGGATCCAGCGCATGAAGGATATTACTTGAAGAATGGTGCGTCCATGGAACAAGCTCTTTGGAAGGCAACTCTTATGCCCAAATTGCTTACAGCTGAGAATAAAAGAGAGGATACAGGATTGGAGCCGGCTCAATTGTTTGTGGAGCCGGCTCTTATCTGTTTTTGGAGCCGGCTCAAGTAGTTTTGAAGCCGGCTCTTAAATTTTTTGGAGCCGGCTCAAGTAGTTTTGGAGCCGGTTCTTTTGAGCTTTTGTGAGATCCCGAGAGCTGATGCTTGAAGGCAGTATAAGAGCCGGCTCTACCTATTTCTAGAGGCGGCTCTTCCTATTTCTAGAGACGGCTCTACCGTTTTGTTGAGCTGGCTCTTGAGATGCCGAGAGCATGAAGTTTTGAGTATTTTGTATGCAGGTTGGGGAGCCGGCTTTTGTGTGAGTTGATTCGGCTCTCATTCTCTATAGAGGCGGCTTTTATTTTGATAGAGCCGGCTCTGCTGCTGCTACTTCACTGCATGACATTCTGCTCTGTGATCATTCCAATTTCTCTTCTAAGCAGACAAAATCTATCCTCTTAGAGTGGTTTAGTGAAAATATCACCCAATTGTTTTTCCGTATTTATAAATATAAGTTCAATGTCGCCCTTAGAAACATGATCCCTAAGAAAATGGTACCTTATTTCAATATGCTTTGTTCTTGAATGCTGAATAGGATTTTTAGAAATGCATATTGCACTTGTATTATCACACATAATAGGAATGTGATCAAAGTATAGACCAAAATCTTCAAGTTGTTGCGTAATGTAAATTGTTTGAGCACAACAACTACCGGCTGCAATATACTCGGCTTCCGCCGTTGATAGAGCTACGGAATTTTGTTTCTTGCAAGACCAAGATACTAATGATTGTCCAATGAAGTGACAAGTCCCGCTAGTACTTTTTCTATCAACTTTGCATCCTCCAAAATCAGCATCCGAGTAACCAACAAGATCAAATGATGTATGTCT